TGGACCGATTCTTATGACATTTTTTGCATATTCAGTCAGTCTGAGAATCGGCTACTATCTATATTTGAAACCCCTAAGTGATAAGGGGTGTCCACCCCAAAAAAAAATATTTTATTTTAAAATTTTTTTTGTTATAATTTTTTTATGATACAGCATACATACAGCCCTTCATCTTTTCATCTACCCTCTACGATCCACCCCTATTTTTTATTATAATACATAGTTATTTTTATTGAACTAAAAAAATGTTTCCTAGGAACAATATACATGGCAAAACGTTTGCCGGGTCAGCTAGTATGTTATAAAAAGGATATACATACATACAAGGCGCAACGGCGCTAATCAGATCCATGCATTTTCCTCACAATCGATAGCCCGAATTATCGCAGCACACAACTCCCGAGGGGACTTTTTGTATCGAAGAAGTTGCATGGGTCCGCCAAGCATCCCTGAATATACAAAGTATATAATTAAAAATAGGAATATAACAAAGCACACAGTAATAGTAAATAATGAACACTGCAATCTTGCTAAAACGATACAGCGAATGGTATCTATACAGTTGCTGTAGATTCATAGTTTAAGATGGGAAGGCACATATGTCTGATCACCTTATATATAACAAAAATGATCAACGAATCATGACCTCACACTATACGTGACCTTTAAATAAGAACTAGGTTAAAGCCCGAATGTACATTCATATATAAAAATCCCCATTTATTAGTTTTTCAGTTGTACTAGAAGTCCATCCGTCGTAATAATGGAAGTGTATTCAGAAAGACATACAACAAACTTTAATAATTACGATAATTAAGAATTTAAAGTGTTCTAGCATCTAAGCCATTGATTGCAGCCCTTTGTCTAAAATTGTCCTTGCAAATAACAAGTTACAATATCGCTCTCGTTCACTGCCCCAGTTCCCACAAGGTAGTTTAGGAAGCGTGTTGAGATTTACGAACGTGTATTAATCGATCGGTAATTTATTAAACGAACGTTTAATAGCGGTGTTATTAGAGCGAATTGGTTTCAGATGTTAAAAAACTGAAGCGGCGGTGGGGATAGCATTTCTTAACCATTTTGAAAATTTTGTAAAAACATTTAGACATAGTGACGTTTTTTTTAAAAACTAAAACAACTATGTGGAACCAGCTGCCCACTGAAGTATTTCTGAACCAATTCGACTTAGGGTCCTTCAAGAAAAGAGCGTACCAATTCTTAAAAGACCGGCAATGCTCTCGCGAGCCCTCTGGCATTGAGAGTGTCTATGGGCGGCGGTATAACTTAACAATAGGTGTGCCTCCTGCCCGTGTGCTATAAAAAAAAGTAACAAAGATTAATTTATTTTTAATTAACTGGAGGTTGGTATGAGAGGGTCATGTTTAACCTTGTCAATTTTTTTATTAGCTTTTCTTTTTTCATCCACCTGGTAACAAATGCTGGTCTTTTGATTTCAACTTTTAAACCTACTTTTATATTATTGGATTCAGAACATTCTATAATAGTTTTACAAAGCATAAATTATGTCCCAGTACAATAACAACCCCGACATGTAACAAATGCAGTCACGATAAACCTGTTACAATGCATAATCGATTGCGATAACTTATTATTAGGCATTACCCTATTTATAATAGAAGAGGTTAGAATCTTAATTCTAAGAAATAATATCAGGCAAATTGTATATTATTTATCCTATAATGTACTTATCGTTGTTTGTGATAAGTTTGCCGGCTACGTTGTTAAAGTTTTTCGGGGAATTATTAGAAATCCTAGTGTTCTGCAGGAACTCAGTTTATTTGTATCAAACGGCAATTTGAAACGGCGATAACGAAGGTTGTTTGCAGTCCCTAGGGGCAGTATGAATTTGTGGTACCAGGCCCCCTTAACAAAGGCGTTGCGAGTGTTTAATATTGACAATTAAATTCGCAAAAAATTTAAAATTGAATTCGCAAAAACTTTAAATATCCTATGTTGCGGTAATTAAGTTACACAACTATTGCATTTTAAGCTGTAAGGGTAGTTGTATACTTATAAGTTAATAAATAAATAACAATTCAGATTAACATTCTGCATTTTAAAACAAAGTTGACGAACTAGAATATTTTCGTATTACGCTCATTTATTTAAACAATCTAACGTTAAAAATTATATGGATAGTAAGCAATTGACTTAAGACTATCGGCTATTATTTTGATAAATAGCAGACAGAAATTAATCAATTGTGACGAAATTTTACTGTGCATTAAACCAACTGCATGGTAATCATACAAATTGATACCTAACGACGTGTTTATATGTCACTCAAAATAGATTAAAATCTCCAAGGTGAGTATGGTGTTAGATTGCAACATAACATTTGCCAGACTATTCTAATTCAGCTCTAGAACCTTTGACCCTTTGGCGTCAGCCCTTCACTTTTAGACGCCCTAATTTCTCCGAATACGCTTTAGTCAGAATCAGTATGGGAAAACTATTCTGTTTAAACATGTCTTTTGATTTCAATAGTTTTGCTAAGAGAGTTAATTAACCGAATTGCAAAATGTATTTCAATTTAGATTTTATAATTAATCGGTTTCAGCGCTTGATTGCTGCACCGCAGCTGATTTAATAGAAAGGGAAAATCGATGGTAGAATTATATCAAAATAACATGCCTGGACATTTGAGCCCTCAAATGAATTCTGAGTGCGAAATAAAACCAATAGGCAATTTATAACTTCAGCGCCTGTATTATCTACGAGGTCAACCTGTGCATCAGAGTAGTCTCTGATCAGATACGCAGATTCAAGAAGTGCCTGAGATTTACATTACATATTTTAAGTTCAGTCATTTTGTTGCAAACCTACCTATATCCTACTACGTTTGGCGTTTAATACAGAAAATGGGACCTTTTAAGAAGGCCAAAACCACGAGTTTATAGACGAAAATGCTAATAATGGATTTCTGAAAGGCACACGGACGTGGACAGATTTTACTAATTTAAAGACATCTTCGTGCAGGGTCAATCAACTTTCACAACTGCATCGTTGTACTGATTCTCTGGTCATTAAACGATGCAAAGATTATGCAATATCGGCCCAGTCAGACCTGCTACTTATGTGGTCTAAATAAGACGCATTTAATTAATAAGCCGGACCATCGGCTTAGCGCTGGAGGGCTTACTTATGGTTTTACTTCTGGGTTCTATTTATTTGCGACAAAAAATACTAGTTTCATAAACTTTATGTTTAGATTGTAGGTTTGGTAGTTTATCTACTCCTACCCAAAAATGTGCGTATTTTTTCTGTCTTATAAGTTAACGTTTAGTATATTGCTCTTGCCCCCTCGTACAGGTTTTAATGAATAACAAATTTAATTTCATAATAACTTTTCTTCTGCAGTATCAATTATTATTACACCTTATTGGTTATTATATATTTTAGTTATGCAAGGCCGTCGTGAAAATATTTACACGACTATACATTTGTGATTACTCTCACAATTTTATTTGTATTATTTCAATTGAATGATAACTAAATATCACAGTAAAATTATTTGTTATAATGGAGATTAATAGAATTAGAGTATCGCATTTTAAGAAGCTCGGTTTCTCCTAAAATAGCTGAACACGTGCGGTGTATTTAGAGAGGCATCAGACAAAATGACAAGTAATAAAGCAATAGCAATTCCATTGCTACTGTCTGGATCGCATGCTTAACTTAAAGGCTGAGCCGTACGTGACAAGACTGGAAATGCACTCTCATTAAAGCTTTGACTTTGCCCGACGTCATTATGATTTATTTTAAAGTTATTTTTAACCCTATTTAATTAATACCTACTGATTTTGATGTATTTACGTGTGTACAGGACAAAGTATGTCAGGCTCTGATAATATGATATTAAATGTATGATAAAATTATGTTTGGAACTTTTATTCTTACGAAAGGGGCAATTTTCTGGAAATGTCAAGTGTTATAGATAAATGTAAATAACACAAAGCTTACGAAAATAATGTACCGGAAGAAGTTCGGAAATATTTAAGTTGTTAAGAATCGATAAATAAACATAAAGCAATAAAAGTCGCTTCAGGTGTCCCGCCCACGAGCTTTCTCACGATGTAGGTTGGGTCAAAAGGCATCAACATACTTTACAATACATTAATATTCATAGAGCCACGATTATCTCACTATTTTGATGTCTGTTTCTTCGACAATGAGAAGCCCGTGTAACGTGTACATATATTTCTGATCGTTGTACATAAATAAAAAATGTAAGACTTTATTTTTGTAACACTCCTAGGACTAGGGACAGTTAAAATGTAGCGTGTAATAATTTACTAGAAGGTTCCATAACGGCTTTATGTACATATGTTACGTTATAGATAGTATATGATCATAGCCAGCCAGATATTAACATAGTACTGAATATATTATTACGTTTTCTATGGCTACCCTCTTAATATTCATTTGTTTCAGAAAACTTGACCAACGTACTTATGTTTACTATATTGATCTAATACGAGTGGAAACAGATTAACAGATGCTTAATAACGTACAATCGTGTTTCCTTATTAAATACAATTAAATACACTTTACAAATGAACAAGGTGGTCTAATCAATGTTGAAATGACGCATGATTCAACTGTATAGGTACATTTCGTAAAGAAAGCTTGACCTACATTTTAATGTGTCCATTAATTTTTCAACTCGTTATCTTTCAGGCCTTTTAACATTAAATATTATGGTGATTGCCATAATTTGGAAGTAGCCTCTCCTTATGCATAGCTGACTGTCCAACAAAGTTGTACCGGACTTGTTTGAAATTGTATTAGCACTTGCTGTAACTGTTATTCATTTAACTAGTTTAAACTTGATGTAATAAGTTGTTTAAAAATATACTCTCCTGCATATTCTGCGGAGTGCTGTTCATTTTTTAAAAGTACGGGGGTAGATAACTTTAAAATCTAGTTTATGTATACATAATACTTTTGTAATTATTTATTTTTTGTAATAAATGATTATGACGGAGTCAAAAACGCAATTTAAAGTAAGAGAAGCATACAATGGAATTACGCGTAGACCTTTATTTATAAAATCTTCTTTAGGCTTTTTAAAATTGATTTAACATTATTTGATCGTAAATATTGTTTTAGTAATACTTCTAAAAACTTCGTAGATTAACATTCAATCAAAAGAGATATTCTTTTGCCAGAAATTGTGACAAGCGCCATCTATAACTAGAGTGCTCAATCATGATACGGCAACGAACTAATAAAAATAACTAAGTTACTCACGCAATAAGTTTTAGCTAAATTGGCCATAGGTGGCGCTAGTTTCCTTAAAATTACAATTACTTCCATATTTTATTATTTTTGCTTAAAAATTGTTGATGCTTTAATAGTTATTATTTAGGAAAGATTACTTCGCCTGACATTTAGTTCCGGCAACGGAAATGACGAGTCGAGAAAATTATATGATAAAGATTCTATCAATATAAAATATTGTCGTTAAAAATTGTATTGACTTTACTATAAATGTAACTTAAACATTAACAAATTATGTATTGTTACAGGGAAAAGAGAAGACAAATCGGGAAGACCTGAAAACCGACATACAACATAGGAAAGAAACGTTCTATCGGGTAAGTTTGTTATTTATGTAGACTTAATATGCGATTTTTAGTTATAGTTAGATTTTAGTCAGACGTTTTTAACACATTGCATTTTTTTTATAATATTAAAAATCAAACGTTCTATACACATTATTTAATATACAACGGTTTATACACATTATTTGTATTTCATAAATCCAAAGTCTAGACTGCTGACTTTTTAAATGTATCTTTTGGTTTCGTATTTCGTCTGTGACTTGCATAGGATTCAGGATACAATTACATGCACTTCTAAAATATTGATTATATAATAACCTTTGTACTTCGTGTTAACTGTATGGAACCGAGTTAATTTGTTGAGTCCTTTTATCCCATTTATTTGAGATAGTGGCATATAAAATACGATTATTTTATTAACTTATCATTTATATCTCACTTTTTAAATCACATATTTGTAGTTTGTACGAATTCTGATAGTGTATTTGCATGTATAATGATTGTACACTAATCATTTTTTATTGTTATTTTTGTGTGCTCCTAGATTTTATTGTAATGTCAGTTGGCAAACATTTTTTAAAATAAATAGTTAAATATGGCCACGTTCAGTAGATACCTACGTTAAACCAAAAAGAAAACCGAAACAATTACATCTTTCAATTAATTCTTTATATCTATCTATCTCTATCTCGATCTGTACTGAGACCACATTCTTCTTAAGACATGGCAAATGCACTGGACTGGCCATTTTCCCTGGATTTAACTACCTTCTCAGATTCATGGCCACTTCCTTTCCCTCCTCCATTGCTGCTACATAATGGGTTTACAAAATTATATACAATTCTATATCTATGTATCTATATATTATAAGTTTGTTACCTATATTTATATAATTTACAGGAGGCCCCGTCTGACGGCGATTCAGCGGTGTCTTCCGCACCAGCCTCCCTCTCACCGCAACCGCTCAACGACATGTGGGTACGTATAAGTTATAAATATTTGTTTACACACAAAAAAGCAATTAATGATTTAAAGTAACACAAAAAAATTAAAAATATAATTGCTGCGATCTGTCTCTATGTTACTTAGGTTCGTGAAGCAATTGGTAAAATAAATATTGAAGTAGTTTTTCAGTTCATTCCTTACATACATAAAAATAGAGGTATTGTCTCATTTTAATCAAGTCTAGAAGTTTACGCCCTACATATCTTTTGTTGATTATTTTCTTTATATCGTATGGTTTTCCTGGGGAGCAAAATGTACGTCAACTTTGGTTTTCCAATATTAAACCCTTTGCGCTAAACTATGACTTTGTGTTAAGAATTTATCGTATACACGTTACAGTTTTATATAAATATAACATAATGAAATGCCTGAAAGTAAACAATTATATTTATGCAAAATTAAACGAATATTAGGCAATGCCTTGTATAAGGTAATTTCCACACTTCAATAAGCAAATTAGATTGCTTATATCTTATCTAATTAGAATATTCACGATTGCAAATAGCCAATTACACTTAATTATCGCTAAAGATTGATTTAACGGGCAAATATTATATAAGACAAGATTGTGTTTTGTCTAATTACGGACAAAGATACAACCAATAGTTTTTTAATGACTAATGGGATATTTATTTCCAACACACAAATATACGGTATTTACAATATTCTTAACCTATATAGTACTAATAAGAATAATAATTGAAAATTTATAGATAAAAGAATAAAACAAATTTAAATAGTTGGGTCCCTGTGTTTAACGCTGGCAGCATTTCCTCGCTGTATTGCGATACTTATTCGTTGAGCGAGGAAAGTACCGGCGATCAGGTCACAGGTACCAGGCGCCAACTTAAATCTTTAAGCATTTGCACTCCACGGCCCAAGAGTATATACTCCAAAGGGAATAAAAACAAAGTTTAAGAAAAATGCTTTTAATTATTTCGTGTTATTCAAATGACAAAACTAAAGTTACCACTTCTATTTGGAAAATAAGCTTGGGAATATTTTCATTTATCAAGATACTAAGTGATACTTTATTAAACGTAATGTAGAAGTAAAAAATGTCCTTCAAACGATAGCAAAAAATAGGGAAATCCGGACAAGATTTACGTTAATGAATTATTATATAGCTTTTTTCAAATACTTTGAAATAAACATTTTACTGTAGACTTTTGAAGACTGTGCCTGAGATGATTGAAAACCGAACACCACATTTTACTATCGCACAGTATCTACAGTACGCAGTTACTACAACGTATAATCCGGGAGTCCTGGATTGAGATCCCTAGCAATTTAAATAGAACGCAGAAATGGCCCTATGTGTCAAAGAGGACATGATAGACCCGTAGACAATAAACACGACAGACCCAATATCTTAAGCATTTGTTCCTTTGTCGACATAAATCAATACTTTTTAAATCTCATATCGTCAAGAAGCCAACAAATAGGTACTAAATGCGATTATAGGTGTAGGTACACTTTAAACAACGTCACTTCATTTAAACCTTAACGTACCGTGTACTGTTATTTTGTGTAGTTAGAATATCTTTTGAACTCTAGCGCAGTGTGGGAAGGATGAGTTTCTTGCTTTTTTTTTTAAATTTGTTTAGAAAGCATTTTAGAAAAAATAATAGTGTGGCTTGCTTAAAACTTTGAATAAGTTAGCGCTCAGTGTTGACTTCTGTATGTCAAAAACGTATAGATTATATTTAGAGTCTACACTAATCATAATTAAGTGACTCAAATTTAGAGATATAGGTACATACCAATAGAAAACGAATTCATATAGAAAAACCATAGAGGGAGCTTCAAAATATATTCATGAGCCGGATTTGCCCTGTATCCGAAAATTGTCCTCTGTAAAGTGAGGAAAATAAAAAATATTGATGGCTTGTTAGTAAGAGGTACCACATATGACTAACAAGGAATTCAGTATAGCCTTGAATTATCATGGGAGAATCGTTCACCGCTTGTAAAATGTCACGATTTTGCAATACAAACATCTTGTCACTAAAGTTAAAGGCGCCTGAAGTTGCGTCACGTTGCTCTATTGTTTTGTAGGGTGACCAAGCAGATTAGTGAAACCAGGTTATGTTGCAACTAATCAATGTAGACATAGGTCTGTGTTAGAAAGCGGTGTCCACATTATATGCTATTACCAATATTATTGACGTGAGTTTTACGTATATAAATATGCTGACGCGACACGTAAAAGTTTTATAGTTTCTTTCTATCAGTCCATTAACCTACGTCCAATACGTACATCATATAATACAAAGCTAATAAGAGGTACTACTAACACAACAAACCCAGTGATGTATGTTTTCTATTTCAAAATTTATGAAGTTATTTCTGCGAAATATATTACGCACAGTAAATTTGTATTACATACGATAGTATTGTGTCTTTGTCATACAAATTTTCTTAGTTAAATACGGGAATGTGTACCTTATCACAAACACAGAAGCCCTTTCACACGTCCCAAGGTCGTCCTAACGTGTTGTCTCTTACAGTCATGCGGGCAGTGCCGCAGTTCGGCGGAGCGCGCGGCGAGCGCGGCGCGCGAGTGCACGCGACTTGCAGATGCGCTACGAGACGCCCGCGATCAAATCGAGCTCATGGAATTCAGGCTGCTCGAGCTTGAAGACGCACATCCCGAGAAGGTAGTGTGGTGACACCTTTATTTAAGTGTAAATATTAAGTGTGTCTAGTGAACTTGGGTGAAGTGAAAATGAACGGGATGGATATCGATGAGGTAATTAATAATTAATTAATAATCAAATACGCATTTTCATAATCATATTTCTATATTTTTATATTTTATTAGTAATAGGTCTATTTTAATTTTAATTTATTTTTGTTACTAACTGCCGTCGCAAACATCGTTTCTCCATAATGTTATTTTTTACTAAGCCTACCTTTTTAGTAGCTATATAAGTACGAAACCTTTTGTTATGATACACAGAGACTTTTAGTTTTTCCTAAATATACCTAAGTATTAAATAAAACCACATTTTTCGACTTTTTTTAAATCTTTTTCAATTAAAACCTTCGAGTTCAAAGAATTAATAAAATTACTCGAATTGGTCCAGCCGTCTTCCAGTTTGCCGCTTAACAACATATTTTGGGATTATTTTTTATTTAGATAAATATATATGTATTTACAAAACCAAAATCATAGTTTACGAGATAAATTTATTACCATAAACTATTTTTATATAACATATCAAACCATAAATTATGTAGCCTTTGAGTAATTACTTAAGAATTTACCTAGTATTAAAATTGCGTTATTTGTCCGAGTAATCACTTATCGACTGGATTGTGTAAAACAAATAGCTATGCATTACTTAACATAACTAATTTGAATAGCCACGTACTTTACAACAAACACAGTAAACTATTCACTTTACTGGAAAGGAATTATTTAATATTAGATCATCATTTTCACGTCACACAGATAATGTAGACACAGTAAGCTTCTATTCAAATGTGGCGGCTTTTGATATCAAACATGATAAACAATAATAATCTTAATAGCTGTGCGTTGCCCCTTAGTCACGACTTAAAGTCCTGGCTTCGAATTCCGAGGAAAGAAAGAAAGCACGCTGGTATAAGAATTGATCAGCGAGAAGTTAAAATTTCTATCGCCACGGGTTACTGGACTTATAAAGATTATGAAATTTGTCCATAGACAAATACGGTTGTCAGACCGTTACTTCAAAGAATAACTTACTTCCTTTTAAAAGCAGGAAGTAGTCGGAATTTGTTATGTGATACGGTGTTGAGAAAAATAAACAGAGAGGCAATGATAACAATATTTAATCTATATGAAGGTTATATTCAAATAAATATTGTATTCAACATTAATTGAATGATAAAGTTAATAAGTTTAATCAATAAGGCGAAAATATATTTAAAAAATAACCTGTTACTTTCAATAAATACCAAATTAGATACTTAATCGTTATCATATCCTGTTTAAATAATTAACGATTTGCGCATTTTATTACTTTTAATTATGTGTTCTATTAATTATTCTATAACGTTAATATACTAGATTTTATTATACATATATATAAAGTACATTAGTTTTTATGGTACGCGGAAACTTATCGTCAAAGAAGCATTTGTATTACTCAACCAAAAATGTTTTCCGGAAAGTTCTAAATTAGGATAAATCTATTTCATTACGACTTCAAAATCCAACTGACCGCATTTTTTTTCTATGTCCTCTCATATGAGATCCGTTCTTTACATTCAGCATTACTGTACACTTTGAATACTGGCTGAAAATATTCACAGTTTATTGCACAATATTCCAGGCTACCCTAATAGGAAATATAAATTGTGAGTGCAAATATATTTCAGATAATATTTGTGTAGAATTACTAAGACATTTTTGAAGTAATACTTCTTTAGGCACCTTATGAAAAATTTATGAGAGTGAAATTTGACGATGCGTGCGCACCGTTACACAAAATTAACAGAATGAAGTTAGTTCTAGGTGGCATGAAAATCGATAATAACTATGTTCAAGTTGTATATTCTAGTATTTTTATATTTAGAACACGTGTTTCGTAACAGTACAATTAAACAGTGTGAATAAATAAATATTATTTTGGTGTTTTTATTAAATCAATTTCATATACGACGGTGATAGTATTTACTAATAATAATTTTATTGATTAATTTTAATATTTATCGTTAATCACTACTGCATTTTAGTTATTTTTTTTCCATACGCCAAAGAAGTATAACTTCTAACGCGTGTACATAAGTACACACACTCTTTTTTGTATCCGGTAAAATTTACTCACTTTAATTTTCGCTACCTTAATCACTTCATGTAAACCTAATATTAAAGCCATTCGTCATCTACGTTTCCTGTTACGAATTCATAACCTTTTATGGATCATAATGCTATTGACTTGCAAATCGTCCGAGCCGTATTGACTTCCAATTTTTCTTACCGCTTTTTGTCGTTTGTACTGTTACTTTGTTTACAATATACATGAAGTTGGAATTGTTTAATTCTTTGGAACATAAATAATACATAAAACATTTTTTTTAAATAAAGTATTAACAAATGACATATCAAAATTTTCATCTAATCGATTTCACTTTAAGCTCTCATTACGTTCAGGAGACTACCCATAGTCTATGTTCCGATATACACTGCGACCACTGTACAGAGTACCGTCAATTTAGTATACTGTGAAACCGTTTCTCTATAGCCAGCTATACTGGTTACAATTTAAAACGGAACGCAGTCCAGTATACTAGTCAGCTTCGTTTTTCGACACAATTTTTAAATGAGTGCATCAAAGTTTTTCAATTCAACAAGAAAAACTATTATTGGAGTATTATCGCATTAAAAAAATCTATATTAATATTAACTGTCAATTGAATTAATACTACAAAGAAAGTAAGTTAGAATTTTAAATGTTTGTTATTAAACTGTAAGTTATATCAGCCGTTAGGCATTCAAGTGGTTTTGATTGATCACGTGATCAAAGCACTGCGAGTACCTTACCTCGAAAACGCCAGTGCTCGCAGTAGAAGTATAGCGGGGATTTGTGACGTCATATATTTCCCTAGGACGCTGCGGCTGTATACTGGCGTCCATAGCGGAACGAATTTTTGAACAGTGGGAGCACTATACAGTACTCGCAGTGTATATCGGAACATACCCAATATAGTATCAATGTTGATAGTTAATAATTTTTCTATTTTTTTTAAATTATGTAAGTGCTTGTCCTTTTTTGTTCATTAAACTTACGATACAAAAATTCTCATTAAAGCTGAAATCGATTCACACATGTTTGTAATCCGTATCGGTTCATTTACTTAAATCAATGTTTTAAGCAGGTCACTATGAAGACTGACATATGTCAAAGGTTAGGTCTATTAAATTGGCTCTACTACGAGTATATGCCCGCCATCTCATACAGTACTTATTCGTATGAATGACTTGTTGTATCATCAAAATATTCAAATAATGATACTTGCATGCTTTAATGATTACATAATTGAAGTTCAAAGTCCATTGAAGATATTCAGTAGCGTAATTTAGCTCTAATATAGGAATTTAAAATATCAGTTAAGACATCGTCGTTAGCTCAGGAAGTTGGTATGCATCGTAAAATAATACGATACACTACGATACGATAAATCAAAAATAGTTTGACTAAAAAACAATAAAATAATATCACCAAATTGTACTCGTGATGTAGCGAGAACTGCTGTTTTAGAGTCTGGGGACTTTAAAATTAATGAGTTATATGTTTTCATGGAGGCTAAGTGATACCGTCGCGGCCGCCCATGGTCATTCATTTTGCCAGTACTTGCTGTACGTTGCCGGCCTTTTAAGAAAATGTATGCTCCTTTCTTGAAGGATCCTAAGTCGAATCGTTAATAATTTAAAACTTCAATGGGTAGCTGGTTCAATATCGTGGTTGTGCGCGGCAAAACTGCCTTATAAACGCTAAGTTGTGGAACGACGGACGTCGAGGTGATATGGCAAAGTTAAGGCCATTCGAGATTTTTTAACGCTGAATTGTTGTACACGATATTCAATGCAAGATTGGTAATATGATAAGAATTATGACTGTAAATAAAGGTGTGAAAATGTTTACAATAGAACGGAGGTTATATTACTGGAATGTGAGATTCCAATTGAATGGAAAGGATTTTGCTCCAAGGTTGTCTTTTATCTCCTTAGGAATACATTCTTTATCCGATTGCGATATTAAATCAACGTCATTTTACAATCTGGTTTGAATTAATTGTTCTCTATTATATATTGCTTTCTAACTGGTAATGCTTATTTGTTCTGCTCCACTACAACCTTTTTACTACCTACGATTTTTTTTGTATCCCTGAAACTAAAACTTTAAGTGGGTTAATTTTGACCGAACAAAAAAAGCACACAATCTTTTTATGTTTTTAAGTTACACAAAGGTTCACTTTTTTTATCCAAGTTTTACCGTTTTCGAGTAATTTCGCGAACACTTTTAAGTTTTTTAACCCTTGCTGGTTTGAAACGAAAATCTTTACACATTGTTTTTGTATCATTTAAACTACATCATATCAAAAATGCAAAGTTGGGTGCCGAAATTTAATTTGACAAACTTCTTACAATGAATGATTGAGCCGCAATCTTCTTGAGTAAGATCTGTTGATCGACATTGATAGAAAATAAACAATATCTGTTGTCAAGTGCGGTATATATTGAAATGACCGTTTTGTGGTTAATTTGTATAAGAGTCATAACTTTTTCCGTTTCATTACAGGAAAATCCCTGTGAAATCGTCATCTAAGAGTATGACATTTCCAAGTATATATGTACCTACTAGTGGTCACTTTCAGAACTAATATTATAAACAAATATTTTCTGATTAGTTATGTGATATTCAAATCAAATAAATTAACGGAGAAATGAACTAAAACCTATTAAAACTAAAAATATGAATATAAAAGCAACGTTAACAATATTATACTGTAATTCCTATATATTATAAATAATCTTTTGTTACTATCGACTTCCCACGGCGTCTAATGCCGGAATAGACTTGATCGCCCATAAAATTGACTAAATAATTGCTATTATTCATATAATTTATTGATATTTACCATACTTAAGTCATCGTAAACACATAATAATAAAAAAAGTTACTTATGCTTGTATGGTAGAACGTCTGAACGTAAAATATATGAACAAAAATTTTAATTAATTAATTACTACATTAACACTGGTACAAAGCTAATATAATAAAACACTAATTGGCTCTCTATATTAGTATGCAAGAAATGTAATAACTTGCAATTCACAAGTTACTCCACCAGTAAAGATAGGCCAACAGCTTATTTTCAACTAACAAGATTACAGTATGCCTTAAAGTGTTTTTAAAGAAGTCTTGCTAGGTTTCTAATCTTATGACGTCACTTCGGGCAGTATGCTACCGTTTCCTATTTCCGTCAGTAAAGCAATTAAATTCTATGCTGGTTGGAAGCAGTGCGTATCAAACGTGAAACCATATGATTCTGTTATTCTATAGTAGCTGTATTGACCCATTTTATGTAACGTGAACAAGTAACTACTTATAATCCTATCGCCGTTTTAACTTGAATAGGTCTTTCGATAATTCGTTTTAAACTGTTTATTTTTTATATATTAATGATAGTATAGTCTACATAATACAATTGCAATAAGTATTAAAAAATTCTTAAACTTTTTCTTTTATGAATCAGTGCTCCATATAAATTGTATACCGAAGAATTCCTTTGGTTGATTTCGAACGTAAATACTCGTTATAAGACCATATCGAACATTTTTCTATCAATAGAAAATTGTTTTAAAATGCATATTAACCTACATGTTCTGGTACGCTAGCTACGAATTTATCTGTTACAATATTAGTCTAAATTTCTTCACAATCATTGAAAGTAAACCACAAGTAACTACTTAGATTCGCTAAGTTAATTACTTCGATTATGTGTAGAGTTCCAACTGTTTTCACAGTCTTAGTTTGTGGTTAGGCTTTTCATTATACCCTGCGGTTTCACTTTAGTCAATCTAACTTCATTATTAAACTTTCTATAGTAAGTGAATTAAATTTAGTCTAGAAAATAGTAATCACCCAAACAAGTCAAAATCAAAATACGCTATTTTGAAGGGAAACGCGATATTTGTACTGCGACAGAGTTTTAATATTGCGGGGGTTAAGACTTGATTTACTATAGACATACATTGCGGTAGATGTTTTAACACAGATTGGCTGAATTCGCCGTTGAAATGGTCGTTTGTTCGAACTAAGTTACTAAGTTTTGTGATATTTATTTTTTATTTAAAATGAATTAATTGAATTAGTCTAATTAGACTATTTTAACTAAAGTAATCTAATAATTGAGCTATGAGTACTTTATTTAAAACGAGTAACAGGGTTCATGTTTATAATAATTTAGCATTTTAGAATTACACGTTTTTTCTGAGTACTAATTGCTGATCTTTATCTATTTAAAACGAGCTTTGTGAAACTAAACATAATATTGAGATAAAACAGTGTTACTAAAATAGGAGCGACAGTAGGCAGCATGTGCCCAAAAGTAGCCACGATTAACCCACGCGAATGTTACCAAAGTTAAAATAAATATTGTAATTTATACGCCTAAACCCAGTGTAATTCAAATAACATAGCTTATTGTCAATAGGATGAATGATAAATCTATAAATCTTACGAGAAGAGTACTTTTGTAGGTACACGGGAACGTAGCTTGAACGACGTAAAACATTAAAATGTTTCACAAAACTACTGATAAATTTTTTTTAATTTTTTAAAAATAATTTCGCTTCCATTAATTTCCTTTCTTCATGGATCAATGCATGTTACTTATTTGAAATATTTATAAAATTAAATCAAACTCCTCTGTGAATGTAGATATAATATAATCAGGAAAATGTTCCTGAATGGTGCCTTCTAACATTTCAATATTTATATTTCCAGGGCGCTAGGGACAACCTAACAGACTCGGATTCGGGCTGCGTGTCCCCAGGCTCCCGAATAAAGGACTCTGCATCTCCAGAACTTAAACGAATGGATTCTGGGTATAAATCTCCACATACACCGAGCAGCCCTTGCAACCCTCGACGGCATTTAAATATCCCGCATGACGACTTCAAAGAAGACTTTGCCAAAGCGCAAGTTTTGGATATTTTGGATAGAAATTCAGAAGCTAGTGACTCTTTGAAGAGCAACCCAGTGAAGGAACATCTGGAACAGATGATCCTTAATGCGTCGGCTGATGATAGGAGCTGCTTGGAACAAGTTCTGATGATGTTATATAACTATCAGGCACTAAGTAGCTCCGTCAGCGAAGACGAGTCTTATCAGGTAAATTATACATGTATTATTATGTAGTATTTTCCAGTTTTTTTTAATATGTGTATAGAAAATATTGACAAACTGATTTTTTTTAAATAATTTCTATATCAATCCAAGTGAGATTATATTTTATGCTAAGTATAACCTTATTACTGTAATGTTGTTCTAAAACCTCTTGGATTTATGTATTATTGACAGTGACAATTTCATATTTCCACAAACCACCAAAACTTAAAATAACAATAGGATTTTTATCAACCATGTAACTATTTAACCAATTTCACTCAGGCAAAACCGAAGAAAATATGTGACGTAAGATTACGAACGGAAACCGATATATCGCACAAAACACACAAAGCGATCGCGACCGTCACACCGTATCAGCAAAAGGATAGAACCGAATCCCTCGAAAGCCTCTGTGAGGAAAGAAAACCAAATAACATATTACAAGAGAGCGGAATATTTGAAGGAGTCGAGACTGAGAGCAAAGAAACTCAGACCGACCTCAACGATAGCTTCGAATGCTCCGGTGAACTAAATACCGAAATACAACGACTGAATAGCATAAGAGAGAAGTTAGAGAGGCAAAGTAGAAATAGGACGCTTAACGAAGATTGTTTAGAATGTAAGTGTGTGAAGTTAGGGAAGAAACACAAGCAGTATTACGAGAGGAGACTCAAGTTCTTGGAGGGAAAAATCTCGATATATGAAGCGGCACAAGACGTGAAAGAGGCGAAATTAGCGCAACGGCTACAGAAGGAGTTTTTGCTCGAGAATAGGATACAAGTAAGTTTAGAATTTCGTTTGTAGATATAGCAGCTGAAAGACTAACAGACATTCTTGAGTCGCCTGTCTCTATGCTTTATTGAGGAATATTTTTAGTACAAATTACTAGTTGGATTTTCAATATAAGTATTAAAATAAATGTTTTGAAAATGGAAGTATTCAATTAACTTCAGAATTTATCTAGGAAAGTGTATTGAAGATAAAAATATTATTCTCTTGGCTCTTGTCCATGTTAATTTACGTTATTGTCATTTTTAAAATATATAATTTTTAGGTATCGGGTCAAATGATATATATAATTTTATAATGTCTATTACAGGATCTAGAATCGCAACTAACCGAACTTCATGACAAATACGAAAGACTCGAAGAAGAATGTTGTGAATTGGAGGAAATAGAAAATGATACACGGTTACATTGGCAACAGTATGTATATATTGTAACATTTCAATAATTTATTTTTTGTTATATAATTTTTGTGTTCAACTTCTAAGTACTAAATAAGTCGTTAAAGTGCATACTTTAATTTCGTAATAATAAAGTAAGAGGAAATATATCTAATAATTCTGTAAAAATGTAGATAAAGATCTGACGCATTTATTTCTAAACCTTAAATTTATTAAAATTGTGATATTTTGAATTAATGTACCTGATTATAGATCTTGGAATAAACTCTCCTAAAATAATATACTTACACGCATTGTTAATGTATATAATAAAGAGTACGCGAGCCTAGACTTATTCCATATTATCTCGAAACGCGTAGTTTTGAAGAAAGAAGCAAATCGAATTCATTTTTTAGATCACATAAAAAGGCACTTACACACTTACCTTCACACATCAACAAGCAAATTATTATTAGTACATTGTCTTTGTTTCGTCGATTGGTTAATGCGAGAAGATACTACATTAAAATAAAACATTTACGTTATAATTTATTATATTTCTGGTTATTTGCATTTCTTCAACGTGGTCAGCAAGTGACTATCACTTCAACTTGACAATTTAATATCATTTATTTATTACTAACTGACCCGGTTAGCTTCGTACCGCCTAACATGACAGTTACGAAACCCGTAAACATTTTGCATTGGATAACTTTTTATTTAAGTTTTTCGTCTATTTTCCAATATTTTAGTTATTCTGCTATTCAATTAATTACAATAAATGAAAAACCATGAACTTGAACTTTGTTTTATATTAACTGCATACGCCATAAATCAGATACTTGAATTAAGATAAATATTACTTCAGTACAACTACTGAAATCAACCGCTTACATTCTTCTAAATGGTTGTACCATTTAGAAGAATGTAATGCTTATTTGTAAAGTAATTGCAATATTTCCTTGGTCTATTCTGTTTTGCTTAAAGTACTTGAGATATAAATTCGTATATTTTAATATTTCAGGTTAGAAATGGACTACGAGTTGTGTTCAGCGCAATTGAGAGATATGACGGAACAAAGGGAGTGTTCGCGGGCGCAAGCCGAGCGGCTCGTTCAAGAGCTCGCCGAGAAGGAGTGCTCACTGCAAAAGAGAGAGGTAAAGGCTATTTGAGCAGTTGCTTAAACGACTCTAGGAGGTCGTGCGTTCGAATCCCAGCTAAGCACAAATTTTTTTATAAAGATAATTAATCATTCGGATTTTTAAGGTTAATGTTGTGTGGAAACGGGCCTTAGTCCTCGAATAGAGTTATTGTAATTGCCAACAATTTCCTGGCATCTTCAAATTCTATATTTCGACATAAAACCGTATCAAAATCGGTTCATTCGTTTTGTAGCTAAGATTACATGTAAAATTTAAATGGTTTTTGTCTTGCAGAATGAAATCCAATCGCGATTAAGTAGTTTGGAGCGCGCAGTACCAGCTTTGATAGCATGGAACGTCATTCGTGTTATTGGCGTTACAGTCAATATGGGAAGTCAGGTAATTTTAAAAATGCACTTACGAGGAATTGACTGTTAATATTAGGTATAGTATAAATAACTTTATTAGAAAAGAAAAAAAAATATCCGACGAACTTCCTTACAATGAAATTTTCGGTTAATTTATTTATTTAAAGAATTAATGAACAATAATTATATTTCTAATTAATTTAATTATTGTTTAAAATTCGCAAACGGTATAGCTCTGGGTTTCTATTAAAACTAAATAAATAACTCGGTATTTCTGAACCATTTTAATGTAAAGTGGGAACAAACCGTGATCCATGTGGTATCAAATTATTTCAGTATTATTATTATTTTCTTATGTATATATTATATTATTATTTTCTTATGTAGCCAAGTCCACATTTCAAGGATCGTCATGCTCGCTTAAATGTCATTGCTTGTGGCGGCGTCCATGCGTCGGGTTGTCTCTCTCCCTAAAATATGGCGAGGGGGCCGATGGCTGGCCATGCGTCATACTCGTGAACGGGTGCTACTTGTGGTGACTGGTCGTACTTGAATTCGTGTATGCGGTGATGTTAATTATTTCAACTATGTGTTTGCGTGTTGTTCCCACGAGAATGTAAGTGCGTGCTCCTATTTCACCATGCCTCCTGCTGATAGAGGACAACTCTTTGTTTTTAATTTATGTTATTATTATAAATTACTTAAGATGTCATGTGGAACATGGTTTAATGGTTGCAGCTCCTTACAAACGTTGTGTAAAAAAAAAAACTTGGCGATTAAAAATAGTGGCGGAGAGTTTATTGCCAGTTCTTCTCTTCCGTTCTACGCCCTTGATTTGAGAACTGGCACTAAATGTAAAATTAGAAGCATTAATATTATGTATTTCTTTGCTGACAAGTCATAAGTGTACAATGTGTTACCCATATGATTAAATTATTTTTGAATTTGAATTTGAACCAATACGACTTAGGGTCAAGAAAAGAGCGTACCATTTCTCAAAGGTCGGCAACGTATTCGCGTGTTTATTTTTTATACGTTTCCCCCCTGTTTTATAAAAAATGTTTTTAATATTAGAGCGAAAAAACAATAATTTCATACAATTTTCAGCGTGCCCTCATCAGTCGGATGGGGCCTTTCAGCCATGACACCAGGAGTGCAATAGCGACCATAAAGCAGATGCGAAGTGTCGTAGAAAAGCCTTGCAGATCTGTATTCACCAGCGGTAACGTCAAGGCTCTGGAGCAGCAAGTTACGAAGTAAGTGATATTAAACATATTTCAATTTTTTTTTACTGACGTTATCTACTTATAAATAAAAATAAAATAAATCAGTGGCGCTACCGTTTTAGATCAGGGCCTCAGATTTCTGTATCTGTTTCATGATCATTTGTCAATGTAATAGGCAAGTGGGTGATCAGCCTCCTGTGCCTGACACACGCCGTCGACTTTTTGGGTCTTAGGGAAGCCGGATTCTAATGATGTTTTCCTGCACCGTTTGAGCGAATGTTAAATGCGCACTAGAAAGAAAGTCCATTGGTGCACAGCCGGGGATTGAACCTACGACCTCGGGTATGAGAGTCGCACGTTGAAGCCACTAGGCCAACACTGTTCGTTTGACTAGATAAAACTTGAGAATGGCGGGACAAATTTGGCTAATTTTGTTCTTGTAATATATGTGGAACTTCAGAGTTTAAATGGTGCATAATAATAAATAATTACATTTTTCAAGTCCAACTCGACTTCCACAGACTCGACGAACCATCGTAATAGTTGACACACCGCAAAAAATATAGGATATCAGAAATCTAATATATACAAATTGATGGAGTGTAGAATATAAAAATTGTACTAAGATTTGTAAATAATATTTCAATGATAAAACTATTATATTTCATCTTTTTATTTTGTATAATATTGTTATCATTTTTAGTGAAACAGTATAAGCTGTTGTTGTGTGCCCTTAATTACTTTTACCCTTTAACTTTATAATATATATTATATATACTAGCAGACTCGGCCAAGCGTTGCTGTGGCTAAGGTTTTTGTTATATTACATAGTAGTAATTTATTCAAAGGAAACGGCAGGACAACAACAGTCATGGGGATCACCATGCTTTTTTGGTGGCTATGCCATTAAATTATAGCTTATGTGAAACGTTGGTACTTTCAACACAGCGCCATCTGTTAGAATTGTGTCAAATAATAAACAAATAATTTGCAATACATTGCGGGTATAAATCGAGTTGTAAGCTATCCTACCTTTTAAGTTGGATCAAACTACACACGGTGTGCAAGTTTGATTGATATCAGTTCGGTAGTTTAGGAGTCCATAGCGGACAAACAACGTGACACGTAATTTATATATATTAAGATAACAAACCGAGTTATGAACATGGGACATAATGAGATCTATGCAGTTATCACTAGTACCGGCCAAATATCCTTTGACAAATTTGTTTACTTTATATGTGATTCTCTAGAGTTCTACGTAGTATTATTAAGCAATTTAGCTATAAACGGAAATTCAAAAGATTTTTTTTAGTATGATTAACTACACATTATTAGTATATTATATGTATCCCTAAATTATTCTTAGTATTAAAATAATATTGTTAAATTTCAGATTATTAGCAGAGAAGAAGCAAATAGAACAGCAGACGGGTCAAGTGAGGAAGAGTTTGGAAGCAAAGATTATGAAGCTGGAACAGGAATTGGAGACGGCAAGGAGGCAGATAGCGGCTGCTGAGAATGGTGCATATGTGAAGAAAGACAAAATTGAGGAGAAAATAGAAGAGCTAGAACAGAAGATACGAAAGGAAAAAGAAGATGAAAAGGTATTTATGTTATATAATAATATAGTAGTGGATTTATTATTCCTTAACTTGACTTCTTTTAATCTTATGTATAAAAAATTGGATTAAGACTTGAGGGATTTAGGGCGGATGTATTTCGGATTATCTGCTTTAGTAACTTTTGTTAACAGTCTAAACTACAATTTTCCTTGAAAAAAATTGTATATTTTTGCTTCTAGTTTTATTTCTTCCTTCCTTCAGCTTAAATGAAACGACAACATAAATTAAATCAGTCACACACAGTTTTAATTTAAACACTTTTCGTACTTTCGAACTCAGGGAAAACACAATAATATAAACAAAATTATCTAGACGATCTATTTGTATCTCTTGAATTTTCTTGTAAATCAAATCGTATTTTCTGATATGTAAACGCAAATATTAAGCCAAAAAGTTACTACTGTGTGTAGAGCGATAGTGCTATTTGCTACCTGACAATTCATTTACAAAATTTATATATTTTTTTATTTTCTTCTTACGTAATAACGTATCAAGATGGTTAATGTCGGACTATACAGTGTTGTAACAAAAACAGTGTTGTAACAAAAACAGGTCATAGTAGTCTAATGTCGACTCTTTATGAATTGTTCTTTTTAATTTTCCAGCTTCCAGCAGATCCGTTAACAAGCAGCAAATTAAGAGCATTGCTACTCAGCCAGCAAGAGTTGCAGAACAGAATTTCTGAACTGGAGAGAAGGGAGACGGCGTACTTGGAGATGCTGTCTCAAGCAGATGACATGTGGGCGGATATGGAGGGAGGGTATAAGAAGAAGATAGAAGAGTCACAAGCCACGGAAATGCAGCTTAAAGGAAAGGTAAAAAATATCATTATAATGTTAGTTCTTTACAATTATGAAATTGGCATTTTGTATACGAGGACCAAAAAGTAGATTTTTAAATAGAATATTATATTTAATTAATCAAAGTATGTACTCGTACCATTGCTTTCTATGCACTTTTGTCATCTTTTACGTAGTTCATTTATCTCTTTAAAAGAAAACCATTCGGATCAATAAAATCTTTGACGACGGTTTTGACTGCCTCATAAGAGTTGAATTATTTACCTTGCAAGAACCTTAAATAATGGTAATAATAAAATAAAAAAATAATTTAAATCTTATGGAGATTTAAATATCTTTTGGAGCAAGGTCCGGGGAGTACGTTAGATTAGACTTTCCAATTTAAGCTCCTCTAATTTGGTAGCAGTCTGTTGTGCAGTTTGTGGTCTAGCGTTGTCGTGAAGCAGCAGAAGCCAAGAGCGATTAACTAACCTTGGTTGTTTAGCACGTATTGGTTTACGAGAGTTCTTAATGAAACATCTTTTACGGGTAAATGCAAATTGTGGCACTGTGTAAGATTTTGGTATAAAATTACTGTAAAATATTTCTTATAATTTACGTCATATAATAGGTCAAAGCTCTGGTTTAATTTATGGAGAAAAAAATCAGTAGGGAACACATATAATTGTTTCATTTATCACAAAATTGCAGCCAAGTAATGTAGGCACCGCAAGCATGCTGCATAATTAAGTAATTATACATTATACATGTGTATAAAGAAACAGTAGAAATACAAAGTAACCACACAGTAGTCGTTGTATAAAATTTGACATATTATACCTATATATCTTTGCTTACCTATTCCGTGACTAGATGAATCAAGTATTTAAAAACATGTTTTTTTTAAGGTTAAGAAATTGGAATCTGAACGTGATCAATGGAAGACATGCCTAGAACCCCTGAAGAAGAAGCTTCGAGAAATCGAAGAGTCCGAATCGGGAATGCGGATAGCGTTAGAGAAGGCTGAGAGAGACGCGAAAGCCCTGAAAGCACAGAACACACAACTATCTGCAATGTTCGGGAAAGCTGATGTGGAGGCTAAAAAGGCTGAAAATACGTTCAGGAGTTTGGAAACTAAGTTCAAGGTTAGATTTTAACTGAAACAAAATTTATTTATTTACTAACTATTACTAAACCAACACGATGATGACGAAAAAAAATATAACAAAATATTTAATAATAAATACATAGGATACACAATATCGCTTCTGTGAACTCACTCTGCAAACATATAAAGATAGTGTCTGAGACAGCATTTAGTAAGCACCACGGCCTTTGGTATCGGAAATAAGCTTGGCCTTCGTCGTCCCCCCTAGGTAGGAACACTTGGATGCCCGCCACCCCCGCAAGACTTTCTTGTTATAATATATTGTACCCCACATATAATTTCTTGACGCATAGAAAAATGAGTCGCATTTAGATGCGAAAAGTGCACGAAGTTAAGGTCTAAGGAGATGGAACATTATGTGGGACTTGGGAAAAAATCACTTTGCGACGGGCGTGACGCACTACCGCCAATGGAATTTGTATGATTGACATTGCTCATGCATTGTCACGTGACCATTTCCTTACAAATTTGTTTGGCGTCAGTGGGTCACACCTAACAAAGAGTGATTTTGTCTTACGCCCCTGGACAGCCACAATTTTCAATGAGTATAGTAACAACTATTGCGAGCAAGTCCATCATTAACTCGAACTTGGGCGATGGCCTGGCCGAGGCCTTTTGGTCCTTTGGTTCCACAAATTAAAAAAAATTAAGTTTTACGAATTATAGTATTTCGATACATTGATTCAGAATTAAGTTAAGTGCTGTCCTAATATAATTATTACTGTCTTATATAATTATTTTCATATTACAGAAAGAAGTGGAGCATCTTCGCAAAATCAACAAGCAATTGGATGAAGACCTGAAGGGTCAGTGTGACACATCGAAGAAGGCTGAAGTAAAATTTGCTGGAGATCTCGATTCTATCAGGAAGGAATTGTCCAGGGCTTGCAAGAACAATCAAGAACTGGAAGTCACTAACAGCGAGCTTAAGGAAGAGGTAAGTTATTTTTGGGTTGTCTCTTTTGGTTGGGTTTAATACTATTCATAAATTTTTGACTATCCTTAACACTCGTGGTACAATTAGTAAATGTGAAAGACTATTTGAGGCTTATTCCAAATCAGTTTAATTGCAATCCATTGAAGTGTCCTTATGCCTCTTTCTGTGAAATGGTGTTTTCGCTGTGATCGAAAGAGACAAATAGATACTTTAAAATTCTGCAATTAGACAAATTTTTCGTTCGTTGTTGTCATTGTTTTCAAAAGGTTAGGTTTTGTTTTATACACACTTTCATATCAATAAATCCAAGATCATCTCTATGCACCTGTACCTTACTCATTAATTGGCTCTTCACCACTGCTTATTACGGTGATAATGCATGAAATATCAATTGCGACTCCGCTTTTTAGTTCGTAAGTTCGCATGTCCGCTTCCACGTTTGTTCCGCTCGTTACACGAAGACAGTGCATGTGAAGTGATGTATTGCATGGAAAGACTTCAACCATCTAAGGAGACATATTTTCTCAGGTTGAATCACTGGAAAAGCAGTTAGCGCTCACGCAAAAAGCACTGAATCAGTGCAAGCGCAAGTGTGACGATAAATTAAAAACAATTAGTCACGAATTGTCCATAAAGACTGAAGAGTTGGAGGAGATGCGAAGTGAATCTATGCGACAGACGTATCACGGGTCCAGAGACCTCAAACCGGATAGGACGGAATATGTCGACGAAGGCTATTCGATATACAATCCCGCACCGAAGAGCGATTTTGGGAGAATGCATCACAGTATGAGCTACATAACGTCGGATTCGAGGTGCTCTTGTCCGTCCATGAGGAGTCAGCTGGTCAGCCAGTTGATCGAGGACTTGTTCGACCGGATACACAATGCCGGAGATGACGATTTGAGCAAGCTGTGCAAAGAGATTGTTCCGAACAAGGGCGAAGTGACGGAGGAGACCAAATCGAAGATCACGAATTACCTCTTGATGGCCATATCGAAGGAGCTTATTAGGTCCATAGGAGACGCAGACGCGAAGACTGACACGGAGGTGAGTAGCTTTATTAATTGTCACTAAACTTGCGTTAGAGTCCATATCGTTCTAATCTACCTCTAATCGTGGTTGGGGATTAACATTTTTTTGCTTTAAAATGTTCTACCATTTCAGCGAGTCGAGATAATTTGTCACAAATTATGTTCAAATATCCGAATTTCGTCATTGATAATTATGTTGATCGGAATTACTCTTTTATTGATTAAATGGTAATTAACCCGGATCAATTATCCGATAGGATAGGATACGTCTATGACACATATTAAAATTAGTTAATTTTAACTATTATTCATAGAAAACATATTATCAATCTTATTGTTTTCTTCTAATTACTGCACTGATCACTTTTTAACACATCGTAAATAATAATTTATCACGAAGAGGCTATAAAGTTTATTAGAAGTTAACTTTTGATTAAAGCAATTTTAGCATGCAAGCAAGATTTAGGCAATTTGATACATTTTATTGATCCGTGAACATTTTATATAAATTGTATCTCATTAATGATCGTAGGAATGGCAACGCGCTGTATCATCAATGACGTATTCAGTGCCGTACGGCAAAGACGAAAGTCGATGGTGTGGCAACGCAGGTGTAGTGCGCGGCGCCGCAAGACTCGCTAGTGTTAGTTGCGCCTGCGCAGCTGCCAGTCTATGTGCCGCGGCACCACACCTTGCTCCTACTGTCAAGATTTGTCAGGAGGTAATTTTTTTAAATATTTAGTGCGTACCACATATTATTGCATATTTCGTCACTTCGTTTAAATTTTATAAGAAAATTTTATTTTTTAATAAAGAAATTATAAAGAAAAATAAAATAAATGTTTTGTTTTTAGGAAGTTTTAGAACATGGCGACGTTAAAATAATGGAAGAGCAGTTGGCAAACGCCATAGAAAGTATTGTTGTAAGTATTTCTTATAAAATTAATTTTAATAGTAGTAAAATATTGATATATAGATCAATTTGTGAAAACTTATTGCCGAATATTCGCACTTGAATTATATTTAATGAATATTTTACTTTTATCTTGTATCACAAAGCAGTAGCGCTAGCAGTATTGGTCTTGTGGCTTCAGCGTGTACATCCATACATTAATAGGTTAACTTATTACAGAATTGTCCGTCATGTGCGTTAGGCACGAATGCGATAGTTTGGAGCACGGACGTCTAAGGGCATCTAACGGATTTCAATTATGTGAGTATGGGTAAACAATTCGTTAGTAAAGATTAAAGTATAATTGTATAACTTCTGGTACGCTTCTGGTAACAGTCTTAAACATTTCCTTTTTGCTTCTAAATTTTTATGATAAAGAAATATGTTTCCGTCTCCCAATGAATCGTCCGTAAAAATATATCTTCGCTGCGACCGGGAATCGAATTCCATGGTTCACCACTTAGCATAGCAAGCTCTGTGATTATGAACCTAGTTTATTTTAACAGTCTGTATGTTGATAGCATAGCAAAATGTTTCATTTGTTGGTATGTAGCTACTAAAAATCTAGGCTAAGTAAAAAAAACACAATAGCTATTTATATATTAAAAATGTTTGTTTCAGACATGGCCTCCACCGACCTCACTCTGGTGCCTTCTTTAATATAGAAAAACTGTATATACTTTGTATAATAAACATAGAATTACTAATTACTATTTAACATTGTATCGAACAAGACATTGTACCTCTTCGACATGAGTTTCTTCCGTGCCAATTGTGTTTCGATTTTTTGTGTAAATAATAATAATTTGCAAATCGATCATTTGTACTAGAGTATCATTATCATTGGAGTATTAAATACATTTTATTTAACGAATTCATGGATGAAATAAATGGATATTTAACTTAGTTGGAGTTTTATTTCCTGAAACATTAGAACAAGATGCTTTGTAGCTTGAAGGTCGCGGTTACGTTTTTGCTTCATTTCGACTGTTATAAGCAAATACAATTCTTGCGAAGAAAAAAAAAGCTCTGGTGAAAATGTTTGCAAATAACGAAGCGTGCGTGTTACTGTTTTTGACGGGCGTGATAAGAATAAATTATCATAAATATCATTTATAAATTTTTTTTAATGTTAATTTAATTTAACTCCTCAAAATGATAAATCGACATGAAATACTTTTTATGAAAAACAAATCGTTCGCATAAAAAGTTCAACGTCAATCGAAAATGTCAAATATTGAAGTTTAAATATTAATAACAAAATAAAAATCTGTTTTTTATATCAACCATGTAAACCCCACGGCCCACGTTAATTTTATTACCCTAAACATTGATTATAACTGTCTGAAAACATTTATATATAATATGGTAGCAGGAAATGTAAACTGATAACATTCATAAAATATCTTACAAACTACTTTTGCAGGTAATTCGAACAACGAGTCTCTATCACAAGGACTGTTGCTCCTCAACTTCAACCAGTCGGTCGAAAGCATGATGGTAGAAGATGTTAAAATTCAAAGGGTCCAACTACCTGTCGAAACATCAAAATCCTCTGAATCTCATAAAGCCGAGTCCATTTTGTCTAAATGCTCATGTCCCGAATGCGATTCCCTCAAATGTTTCATTCTTAGACGAAGCCCAGCTAGCAATTTGTGTAACTGTCCTAAAAAATTAAAGTCCTGTTGCAACAATAGCAAGAATGCTTTACACGAAACTAAACCTACATTGGACACAAGCCGCGTGATAAGCCAAGTAAATAGAAGCGTGGATATTAGTACTAAAATCAGCTACAACAAAAAAAAAACGTCCGAAAATGGTTCATGTACAGTTAACACAATTATTAAGTCCAGCATCAGTAGTAAGTCAATAACTCAAGATAGTTATAAATCTCAGGACAGTTTTAGTGATGTAAAGTTAGAGATGACACCATTAAGAAATTGTAACGAGAATACGGCGCATTTAAGCGCTCAAATAATAAAAGCAGGCTGCATTCAAGATTTTAACGATTGCATATCAAATAACGAACCTTACAAGAGTTCGGTACCAGAAATAAAAGACGTGAAAGAATATATTTATACAAAACTAAAGGAAATATATAATGCATGCAGCTGCAAAGTCTGCGAATGTATTCCAACAACTCCACTCTCCGCTCGAAAAAACACATGTTCGTGCAAACCTTGTCAATGTGATGACTGTAAGAAACTATATAATTACGTTGGGTGTCATCTAAAGGAAAAACCACATGTTGGGTGTCCATGCATAAGTTGTGATAGAAAAGACTGTCAAGGAGTAGTAAAAAAATTTCAACAAATCTGCAGCTGTAAGCCGTGTGACTGTCTTATGTGTGCAGAATCATTGTCGAAAAATTGCAACTGCGCACCGTGTTCATGTTTCGAATGTAAGTATAAGCCTTCCTATTTGAGACGAAGCTACATAGTGGCCGCTGTAGGTCAAAGTAATCGAAGTACTACTTGTAATTGTGACTCTCCATGTGAATGCTCCAATTGTATTCCTACATATGGCACAACAGCTTTATCACAGGAACGCTCGACCGGAACAGTTGCACGTGCTATTTGCCCATGTTATTCGTGCACAAATCAATCATGTCAGTCTGATGGCGAAAATTGTAGATGTGCAATGCAAAAGCACGTTATGTCGAAACCTATTGAAAGAGCTCATCATGATTATGATATACGTAACGTTTTACTAGAAGATACAGACAGAATAAAAAGGAATTATAATAGAGATGTTATTTCGATGTGTGCTAATGTCCAACAACAATTTTGTATGGGGGATGATCCATCACAATGTATACAAAGAGGAAATAGGTTTGCAGCTGAATATATTAAATTATCATTACCGAACAAAATTTGTCGATATAGTTACAATCTTATTCCGTGTGAAAATAAATCTAGTGATAATGCTTATAATACGGGTGATTGTTTGGACGACAAAGAACTTAAGTTATTAGGTAAAATAGAAGATGTTTCACAACTACAAAATGTAAAATGTAGTTACTGCAATTGCGAGTTTTGTAAACGCCAACAATCCAACTATGTAAATAATGATATCGGGAACATTATTAAAAATAATTCCTTACCAAATGAAACAGCGTCTACTTTTAATGGAATGACCTTTAAAGAGCGACCAGAATTGGTGCTAATTGAATCAATCACCCACTTAGCTGGACAAAGTAGCCAAAATGTGAGAGCGTGTCAAGTTGCAACTTCTAAGGAGATAATCAATAATAGGATAGTAGAAGTAAATCATTTTGCTACCGATCCAAACTCGAAAAATAGCATTAACATAAACAGTAAACTTAAGAGAAATAACACTGAATTGTTACTATCCCAACGTAAGAAATTATATTGTGTAGCTTCAATTATCAAGGACTTCGCTCTATTTAGCGAAGGCTCAAGTTCTCTTTCTAATGATGGCAACAGTGAACATTCACCATCCTTAAATACGCAACTTCCAGCGACACTGGATCCCGTGTCATCTACATTACTTGTAGTTCCTGAGAATCTCAATAGCTTAGATGCTGAAAAATTGAGTATAAATAACAATTATTTTAAAAAATCTGCAACTTTACCGTTTTTTAATGCACTCTACGACGAAAACCAAAGAACACGTGGAATAGAAGACCCGAAGTTCTCAATTAAAATGTTTGATTATGCTAACATTCAGACAACATTACTCCAAGCGCAAGAATTTTCAATAAAACTAAGAGGGTTATTAGAAAGCTATGAAGCAGCAAATAACGATTTTAGAAGTGTTTCGCAAAGATTAAGAAAACTTTATGATGAAATTGTTAACAGTACTACGAGTGAGGATAAAATACATAAAGTTCATTTCAAACATGATAAAGAATCAAATAAATTGTACTACGTCGGTGATAGAATTTCATTGTCCAATGAGACAGATTTATTTGATAATAGTTACAACGCGTCCCTTATTACCTGTCTACCATCGAATACCAACAAAACAATATTAAAGCCTATCCTGGGTAGTCATAATTTATTAGAAAACGTCAGATCGACTTATGTGTTAAGTGACGAAGATATTTTTGGAGATGCAATCTCCAACTGTTGTACTATAACAGAGGTCAATAATGATACTATTATTGCTTTTAAAAGACAAAGAAGTCCCAGTAATATATGTAAAAAAATAACATCGGTTTCTATAAAGAGTAATAAATATGCAGAAACAGATTTTCTGTATTTTCATCAAGCAATAATGTTTAGTAAAAGTACATGGACCCAAAGTGATAAAAGACAGCAAAATGAAAATATAAATACAGAAATTACATTTAGAGATGCTGATTTTTACAAGGATGAAATCACGGAAACAAATGTTACAGGGAGTTTGTACACCACTTTCGAATCGTCGAAAAATATCGTTCTTCCATCATCTCCAGAAGTAAAGGTATGTATATAATGAATTTACGCTGCATATTTATGTCAACCTGGGATGCCCAACATTTCAAAATGAGAAAAACAAAGTACTAATTAAAGAAAGAGATTAAAATCTTATAGACTTTTTTTTAATTTTAGAATAACGAAAACCATCTACATTGGAACGTTTTGCGAAAAAATCTTTTCTTAAAATCACATCAAAACCCAAGTCATAATAGTGATGCACCATCTCTGGAAGTAAATATAAAGGAAATTATTAGGATCATCTCGCAAGAAATCCGGAAGGAATTTACTCAACAAGACATTAATATGACTTCCCAAAGACTTCATAAGGTTCCGGTAGTTACAATTTTATTACTGATATAGGGATTAGTTTTTTTTCAAATATTTGATATTAAGGTTGAATTTCATAATGATTAGGGTAAGAAATCACATGAGAATGTGAGAATTATTTTGGTCAAAGTAGTGTCAAGGGTTGTCCTTAAATCTGAGTTAAGTAATATGCAACGTAAATTCATGATATCTTAAAGTATAACAAATGCAAAGACCCGGTGATTTAGATACTGATTGCATTTTTTTATATTATTTACTTTACAGTCAATAAGCTTCAAACATGAAGGCAACAAAGCTAGTTTTTCCGATATAAGAAGAATTTCTAATCATACAGTACTAGTGAAATGGAACATACCAAACAATATATCCAATATTAAAGGATATGAAGTAAGTAATCTTTTAACTATGAAGTGGATATTGTTAAATTCTGAAATGACATGCAGATGTCCTGGTCCTTAGATGTACTCGTATGTCCAAAAAAGACGCTTTATATTTTATACATATTTTACTCCAGTTACAGATTGATGGTCGCGTCGTTAAAAAGATTTTAAACCCACATTGCGCAATGGCAGCCATCTCTAGTCTTCCACAAAGCGAGAGGGTTTTACTCACGATACTCACAATAACGGACTCCCAAGGGCCATACAGTTCTAATACTGTTGTGTATAATCCCCGTAACATAAAACGGTAGCAACATAATACAATTTACAAGTCAAAATTGTGTACTGAATAAATTATAAAGTAAATGTACAAAAATTGAATAAAGTTATAAATTAAAACGTTTTGTTTTTGTCAGGTTTTATTATTTATTAAATACCACAAACACTATAAGCGTAGTCCCATTGGCTATACGTAAATAGTACTCACTTTTACTAAGTGCTACCTAAATATTGAATGCATTGCAAATAGCTTAACGTGACAGAACATTCTATAACCAATACCGGCATATAGTAAACTTATAAAAAGGGTTTTCTAAACGTAATGTTCTTATTTATTTAAAAAAAGGTATACCAACGGACAACAATAAAAGCTTACATCTAGAAGACCACAATAATAACATAAAAAACTGATTGTACACCCTTTACAGGCAAACACAGCATGCTTTATACTTAAAAACTATTTCTAACAGAATTCTTACAAACTATAAATTTGGGATAAAAAAAGTAAGAGATATAAACGTTATTGTAAAATTTAGGAAAGGCTCTGCCAACTATTGTTTAAAATGTTTTTGTATTAACGGGAATAACAAGGACTCGAACGCTTTCGCAAAGGTTGACAAAATTGAAATTGGACAATAATTCTAAACTAAGGATGTCGCAATTTTTGTGCAATGGCAAGACCTTAGCGAAATATCAGCTCTTTGTTGGGTTTGAGGGATTTTAGGCATTTAAGTAAAATCTCATGGTCGATCACAAAGGCGACGAAAGAGTTGCTAGCCAATCCTTTTGAGACAGAAGAACTACTATTCTTGTAAACAGAGGCAATGTTATTAGCGAAAAGGTTGCAGATTATTTACAGACTTATCTTATTTAGGGTAGGGAATTAATTTTTATTTTTTAATGCTTTTATTTATAGTCTTTTAATGTCAAATAGAACAACAACAATGTGACAGTAAATTTTCAGTGCAGTAGAAAATTTAGTTTTCTTTATATGAAATTATTCAAAGAATGAATAAATTTCAACGTAGGTTATATAGATATCCAAGAAAGGATTATAAATACAAAGAACATGAAGTTGAGGAGGTCTTTCCTCCAAAACCTCCAAAAAATGTTTTCAATTGTGAAAAACCTATGACAAATCGTTGCTGTAGTGTAGCACCAGATTTGGTTGATGCAACAGAGCAGTGTGTGGAGGAAGCTGATGAGGATCTGGTACTAAGTTGATTGCTTTATTTGTTTTGATAGTATTATTGATAGCTGTTTAAACTTCTAAAGAACAAATTTCAAAATGTGTTATGAAATTACTTACAAGATATTTTGTAAATCTTTGATCCCTTCATTCTGTCTTATCTCGTAAATAATTCAGTATCATTGTTTTAGTGATGTAATTTATGAGCCGAGTTTCCAAAAGGATCACTATCCATCTAGATTACCTAACTAAAACCACTAGAGTTGCTTAATTGTAGTTTTATATCTTTTAGTATCAAAATCTTCTGATAGAACAATACGGCTTCGATCCACGAAATCTGAGTACGATAGACCAGCTAAAAGAAATAAAGAAATTGATCTGTGGAGAAACGCCCAAAGTTGAAACTGCTTCCCAATATAACCCGATCGAGAACAAGAAACTTTCTTTTATGGAAGCTGAATATGGTTTTAAATGGCAGGATATCGATAACACTGAAGATATAGATAATTTTTTTGTTACTGAGAGAAATGGTAGGTGGAGATTTTAGTATATAGGTTCAACTTCAGCTCGCATTATATTTAAACATAATACCTTAATGTTATACGTTAGGGTTTTTGCATACGTTCTAAGATAATCTTCAGTTTCTTTGTATCGGACTACAGCGCGCGTAATTAGTAATGCATATCGAGTTTACTAAGTACGCTCTTAAGCGTATTTAGTAATAATTCGAACCCCGAGCGTTTGTTTAAAACCCTCTTGAGGCCAGTCAAACCATAACACATGATTTCCAGAGACATATTCAAGCGATGAAGTAAAAATAAACGAAGTTCCAAAAGTAAAAGTAATAGCAGAAAAATTCATGAAGTTTAAAAAAGATAATATAGAAGTCAGAAGGCTTGATGAGAAAGTAGTTTGTGTGGAATACGACGTTTATAAGAAACATACAAATAATGGCGGGCTACCTTCTGAACCCATACAAAAATTACGAACTTATTATTCTGTTAAGCCAGTGGAGCCTCAAGGTATTTACAATAATTAGAACTGTACCATTAAAAGTCCTTAAGCATTTGCTTTACCTAACTATTTCCATATTGGGAAGACAACATAACCTGAAGACGACAGCTTTAGGGTCACACTATAATTCACAGTTCGTTCTCGGTCTAGTGAAATATTCTTCGTTATTCGTATATAATTGTATTCGACCGGAACTTTCTTGTTACGGATAGTATGGATGTACTACACATTTACACATTGTTTTTCATATAATAATATTTTACCCCTACTGTGAACGGTATTATGTGAATCCAGCCATATTAATCTTGGCACGTAACATTGTCAGATTTTCGGAGATGGAGAAAGGTCAGTTGTTTCTTAGTAATTACGAAAAGATCTTAAAAACTACTGACGCTAGTCAACTTATTTTCCGGGCACAATAGTTAAGTAATGTACATACCAGTCGGCCCCGACCGTATAAATGCCTCTTTCCGCTAAAGCAAAACCTATCAACATATTGTCGACTTGTGATATACCTAAGCCCAAAAAATTCACAATAACAAAAGGCAGTTTGAACAATATTCATTTAAGACTATTATTTTTTGTAATTATTTACAGATACATGTATTCCATCCTCTGTGAGACTTAAATACAAGATTGCGAGTGAAGATTTAAAGAATTTAACTGATAAAGAAGTAGAAATAATAGACGGCAAGATTTCCGAAAATAAGCCTTATTTAGACGATTTAAGAAAAGTTCTTAAACGAAAAGAGGCACATGAAAAGAAAAACAAAACCGTACTAGACCTAATGTCTTTATATAAATTGGCAAAGAGAAATTTGGCTTTTGACGATGACGTCATATCCAAAGTGGAATTGGAGGAAATCAAAGAGCTGATTACGAAGAATTGCGCCTCAAGCATTCATGGAATAAGTCGAAGGACAATTAAAAGTGAGAAAGATGAATCGAAAAGAGGGAAAACAATTAATGCTGTTTCGGAAAGTATTTTTACGGAAATACTACGGAATGCTGAAGATAGAATATCAAAGAAATCGAATATTTTATAATTTAAAAATCATTGTTTAAGTAATTCTGAGGGTGTTTTAAATAAAATACAATTATTTAACAAAAAACAGTTTATTTAACTGTAACACTATATAAAACATTTCCTTATTTAGTAAGTTTTGGCTTAATGAGATTTCTTTAAACTTTATACACTATTCTCAACTTTCTCAGTTTCGGGATTATAGGCTGGGTTGAGTCCTAGTTTCTTCATTTCCACTGCCATTTCGAAAAGGTAGTCGTAGCATTCCGTCCTGAAATTGACAGATGTTTTTTAGTAAGTACTAACATTTAAAAAAAATATTAAGCTTTATTTAAGCAAACAATTATATGTCTATTGCGTTAGTTTTAGATTCAAAAGAAAATACACATTCACAGGTAATATTTGGCTTAGGCCGTTTGTTCACCACGCCGTCACCGGGACGACCGTGTCAGAGCGCGGCCACACGACGCGGTAATGCACCGTTAACGCATCGTGTGGCCGCGCTATCACCGAGAACGAGATGACGGCGCCGATTTAGCAATACATACATTTAATATGGCCATGGGTCCAACGCACGCCCGTCACCCGAAACTTTAGATTTCCGAGACTTACGCTGGCCATAGACGGACCGCATGTTGCAGTCGACACCGACTGCTCTAAGCGGTCGCCGCACGGCGAACTGCAGTTTCCATACTAAATTCATATCCGCCATACACGGACCGCACGACCAGTTTCTGAGCGGTCGGAGCAGTCGCTCTGCGGTCGAGTTTCGCCGTGCGGTCGACTGCCTAGAGCTGCCGGACCCACCATACACGAATTTATAGATACCTTACCTTTACCTTATGGTAAAGGTAAGGTATCTATAAATTCGCCTTACTCTCTGTCAATAGCTCTCTCCCTTTTCTTCAACCAAAACACTGCACATCTTCGTGACATTTCATCCGTATAGTTTCATTTCAAAAATAAACATTGAAACAGATACAATATGTAGTCAAGGCTTATTATGTAGGTGGGTTTTGCCAACGGATTATTATAAAAAATCAAATCAAGGACTTACATAGTTTTAGCTTGTTGCCAACTATCACCCCATACATAGACTCCATGTCTTCGCACCAGTACTGCACTTGTACCAGGATACTTTGCTATAGCTTCTCCCAAACTACCGGCTAGATCTTTCTCAAATGGAGTGTTCTCAATTATAGGAACTACTAGTTTCTCATCATAACGCAGATATCTACCCAATTTGGCATCTTTTATACCCTGTAATGTAAAGGCAAAATAATAATTAATTTATGTCTACCTGTGATGATAATTTTTTGTAAGAGAAAACCTATAATATATATAAAATTCTTAGTATTAAACAAGGAAACCTGTTGGTTAAGGCATAGTTCCTGTCTTAAACCTACATGTTTGCCGAGCCCAGCAATGGTTCAATATTAAAACCAACATGTACAGACAGCAATTTAGAAACAAAATAAGAACAGTGCTTAGTAAACAAACTTGATTTTAATAGGACACTCAAAGATTATATTCAAAGAAAAATTTTATGCAAGTTATATAATTCTTGTAAGGCTACCTTTATCATCTCTTGGTGGGTGATAGCAAACTCCTTGTCATACAGCAGGGTACAGCGTACAGCATGTGGTGAATGTGTATGTATGACTGCACCAGCGCCTCGCTCACGATACGCGAGCATGAATAGGGGAGTACATTGACTTTTCTTTAACCTAAGAATAATCTCTGTATTATGACAGTCAGTATGAATATCTAGTTGTAATGTAAAGTGTAAACAATAATTTTCTTGTATTTTTTCCAATAGGAGGTAGTATGGCAATAGATACTATGAAATCAGTGTCAGTCAACTTAACTCAGCTGTTGCTTATTACATTTATTCAACTCATTGACATAAACCAAAACAAATATGTACTATATATAAATAGACTTATACAACATTTTATATCACCATATAAAATGTTGTATAAGTCTACACAATCATTTCTACAGGTTGTTTTTTTTTTAAATGAAACTGTTATAACAGGGAAAGCTTACTTTTTGTCAGGTGGTGGTAATTCCAGATCTTCATCATTAATTGTTTGAACAAATAAGTCATCTGGTTTCATTCTTTCCTTTTGTACTCCTGACGGAGCAATGTATATTTTATCCCTAAAACATAGTAGATTTGATTTTATATGACAAAAATATTTAAATATAAAAAAACCAGCATCCATATTATTTATGAATCTTGTCAATGTTTTGGTAATTGGAAAAATTAAATTAAATATAATATATAAAAGGCTCTTTGTAACTCTTTGTAAATATTAATTAATTAATAATAGCTAGCTTACTAATTACTAGGTATTTGTAAGAATTAATTTTCTTGAGTGGAGCTTAGGAATTAAGCAATTTATAAGAGACATGTTACTACCATTGCAATAACATGTCTCTTATATTAAAATGTATGATTTATTTTCACTGGGAAAAATTTCAACTTTGGTTGTAATGCCCAATAAACTATATTTGTAGTAATGTACTAAAACAGTGCAATCAGACTGTTTTAATTAAAAACATTATTCTCTCGGAAAAGCGAAATACAATTTGATAGGAAGAGACAATCAAGGACTTTAGAAGAGCAATTACACTAATATAGTTTTTATGAATCAGTGGGTCTCTTTGTTCTTAATGTGTTTCTGAAATATAAATATTACCCTTCTTTAATTGAAATGCCACCACCAGTGCCTGTGACCCATCCCATATGGTAAAATTGGGAACATAATTCAGGTATAAGATTTCTTGGATGTTCCTGAAATATTTTAAAATAAGTGAGTAATTTTTTGATAAAGATTATAAACAATCGGATTACTAATAAATGTAAGTTTTTCACAATAAAAAATACCCTTAGAAATCGTAGTTTAGTTCTTAAATTGTTGTGAATTTAATTATGTATCAAATAAATTATAACGTAGGAAACTTACCGGCCCCAATGAATCCATAGGTATATTTTATTCGATAATTATTCAGAAAAAAATGCAAAGAACTATTTTACAAATAAAATAATATCTAATGCGTAGTTTGTGCTTAGTTGCGTGATATAACTCGGATAACAGTTACATTATAAGAAATCACTTAAACAAGTATAGCAAACTGATAAGAGGGGTAATTGTCATTGACTATTCATTGTTTGATAAAAATGATTTGAAAAACTTTAAGTAAACATAAAGTAGTGTATTCTTTCCGTTTGAACTAAAGAAGTATATAATTAGCGATTTTTAAACATAAACATCTTTGGTTATGGGTAATATAATCAGTTTGAGCTTTGAACTGTGTTATTTTCACAATTTCAAGTTAATTAAGTTTCTAATTTTTAGAATAAATTATACAAGCAATCATAATAATTGTTGTTTTATTTTCAAAGCTGAAACTACAGATTTGAGATTACTGTAGTTCAAACGTAAAAAAAAGAAACCACAGACTATTAGATTTAGTAGAATTTAGTGACAACCCGTAAAGTGAAATCTACCACTAAACGAACAAAAGAATACGTTAAAATAAGTGTTAAAACTTGTTAAAATGATTGTAAATTTATTAAATTTTGTGTTAAATTAAAAGTAAGTAGTAAAAAGTGTTAGAGTCTGGCTAACGAAAGTAGATACTGGATTTTTTTGCAAACTTTTTATATGACAACACTAAAGTACGGTCAAAATGTCTTGATATTTTTCATTTTAAATAAGTACATATTAGTTTTAGTTACTTTAGATTAAATTTAAACTCATGATAATATTGATACTCATGATAGTGTTTGATAGTTTGTTTGTTCCTTTAATAGGCCACAATGGAGTGACGTATCCGTGTGATGTTTGGTTTGGAGTTAATAAAGAGTTAACAAGTGATATAAGCTACTTTTAATCTCCTCATAACGCGGACAAAATTGCAAGCATCCACTAGTAAAATAAAAATGAATGTCAAAGTATCAAAGTGAGTTGTTCCAACTTTCCTTTTTACTTTAGGGCTGCCATGCTGATATTTTTTAAATTTGCCGCGCTTTTTCAGTATCAACTTTCATTAGCCAGACTCTAATAGTTAAATATTAACACGTCTTGATAGTAGAAGTCTTATACATAGTACTCATAGCAGTGTGTTGTTAATAATTTAATAAAGAACAGACAACCACGAATATGAAGTCTGTTACACATATGCTGAAGGTTTTGTGTTCTGTGCCTTCTTGTCTTGAAGTTGAACCAAATGGCCTAAAGGTCTAAAAAAAATGTTGAATGATATAAGATTGGCGCCAATAATTATAGAGAGTAGAGACGCGGATGCATACTGTATTTATTACTTCAACAGTCAGTTAACTATCATTACTGATTAGTGAATAGTGATTACCTAATACCTAGTGACTATTAGTGCGAGGACTTTTAGAACTTGAGTATATACCGCATGTTGTATTTTTTACATGTATTTTGTTACATTTGTACTTTACAGTAATTCTATTTAAAATGCTGTAAACTGCATGGTGTTAATTTAGGGATTTCGACTGTTTGTTTCTGTCGTGTTTCCAGTATTATAGATTACTATAAACGTAATATAAATCCAGAAACTCTTTTTACGGTGATTTGTTTTTATTTTCCTCTGTCATCGTCATCGTTGTCTTTTTAGTATTACAAAAAAATTGTCACAACAGGCAACCGTATTACATTCAAAATTCAACGTGCTTAAATAATTTGTTTTGTTGCTATAGAAATGTTAAAAATCTAAATTATCAATAACCAGTGGATATATCCAAACAATATCCAGTCCACAATATAAAAATAATCAAAAGGTTGGTTATTGTTCTACTTTTATTAGGTAGGTACATTCATTAAGTTGCTGGTGCACCGAAACACGGTTCAACGAGGTAACTGAGGACAATGTTATCCGGCTTAACTGGCTATATTTATATAAAATTCATCCTGACTGATTTATGAAGCTTAGAAGAGGAGGGCTAGAATTAAGAAATTTAAGTGTTAATATAGTCTATGAAGTATAAATATGCACGAAGGTAAGATAGAAAGAAAACATGAACAGTGACACGTAGTTATAAATATATTAATTTTTATTTTAATGTATTTAAAACTAATTTCGTATATTTTTAAATTAACGCTCTCTATCAAGATATATTTACAATAAAAGCACTTGCATAAGCCTTTTTATTTATAGAAATATGCCTGAAATTCCGGATTGCCTCGCTCGTCGCTACCGGGCTTTAGACGAGCTTATCAAAGACTTGACAATGAATAAAAGCGGGTCCAATATAAACTGTTGTTCTGATGACCCCGGAGTTAAAATGATGTGTAATTTCTGGAATATCTTAAAAGAGAATCCAGATTGTGATCTAAAGGTATATCTAAATTATTAACTACCACGTATGCGATTATGTTCGTAGCGTTGCTACTCACTAAAAGCACAAGAGTTCGATTTTCTTGTAGGACTTGCTTGTTACACAGTTAAGAGGGTGTTTAAAGACAAAGCAGTACTGTATACCTACCTACTTATATATAAGAATTAAGTTATCTAAGAGCAGAGGCCCTTAAGTTTCTTTCGTCCCGATGAAATTTGTTTTAAAACAAACGTCTCCTTATTAACGTTAATATTAACGTTCGCAATTTTTATTAAATAAATCAATAGTCTCACACTTATGAGGAAGAAGAGACCAATTTGCTGAACTACTTGAGATGTTAAGTATCCTTAATCGTGAAATCTCTAAAGCCCAAACCCAATAATCAAACCCTACGAAGACAATCCATTTTTGGCAACGGATAAAATGCTCTTTATCGTTTCATTTGACCGAGTTTACACTCATATTTGATAATCAATGTAAACCAAATAAAGTAAATAAAACCGTACAAATAACATTATTAAATAATTAACTGTTGAAATTGAGCTTTCGTCAACTGTCATTTTCATACAAAGGTCTATCTATCCACAGACACCGATACGACCTACCATGGATAGCTTGTATCGACAGATGGCTATTACAATCCGTCGATTGGTTATTGGCACACTTGTTACAACATTTGGATTAAGATTACTATCTCAGATGGTGGCTTATGGATTGAGATAGGTTATTGAGTTCGGGCGTAAGATGTTGCGAAGTTCAGCCTGTCTCTTAGTTTTAAGCTTTTACATATTCCTCTGACATCACACGCTACTATGAAGAATATAATTTTACTCTTAAAACATAAATATACAGGAAGCCGTTGAAGAGCGCTTGGGTATAACTTCAACAAGTACGGGGATCTTTCCGCAGCGTTGCCGTGAAGTTACTTGTTATATGGCGGGGTGTTGTAAGCGCGACGGAGAGGGTAAAGAACAACCTAAGCCTGCTAGAGTGTAAGCATATTTCTGTGTATGTTTTATTAAACCGAACTAATCTTTACAGAATATTATATTTCTCAATTGTTGCTTACAAGTAAATTTATTTTTGGTTTATCTTTAAGTATGCTAGTAAAATTTTCATAGAGAAGTTTTAATTATAATATCATTGGTCAAAGTTATTGTTGTATGAATCATTTCAACTTTTTTTTTATAAAACAGACTGATTATAGACAAGTTGGTGTTAGCTTTTCCGATGGTCCCTGAAAGATGGGAAACCATTTTATATGAATAAATAAAAGTCATAATTACTATGTTATTTTTTGTTAAAGTAATATATACCAATCTCTGATTTATAATAATTTCGTCTCGTATTTTGTATATAGAAACCATTAAAGAGTACATACGGTTGATAAGCTGTACGGTTTACCGACGCAACCTATTGGCCTGGGGATTATGGGCTGTTTCAGAGATAAGCTGTTAAAATTTTGACACAATAAAAATTCTCTTTCTATTCTCTATCTCTACAGAACAAGTTGTTGTAAATCTGGCCAAAACACTGACCCGAAACCGCCAAGTTGCCAACGATGCAGTACGCCTAGTTCCGGGAGCGATACTTTACCCCTCAGCAAAGTACTCTGTAACATAAAGGAAGTTCGTAACTTTTTCATTCATTTTGTTAAGCGGGTGATTTGGCCTAATAGATTATGAAACTGAGTGGATATATTTTAAATAATAGTTACCATGAGGGATACAAAAATATCTGCTAAAATGGCAAGGTCTTTTATCTAAGTGTTAGTTTTTTAATTAATTGTCTCTGCACACCTCTAAGACCTCGTTTAACATCACGATGTAGCCTAACTTAAGACTAATAAGTAATTTAAAACTAGTATAGTTTACTAAAAACGATATTTGATATAAGAAAGTGTCCAAACACATTTGTTATAGTCTCTACTAAGGGGGAGACACTTTTCTTGTGTACTATTTTTTTGTGTGGAATGTTTGTAAATACATTTAACTAATATAACTAAAAACTGTGGGTATATCTTATCTAAGTCAAACAGTCTTATAATAATATGTAAATTGTCCTTAGGAGTTAGGATAATGATTTTTCATGAGTGGCAAAGTCACCTCGCACTAATACTGATTATGATGAATTTCGATAGAGACGGATTAAATATTAGCTTTTTATTCGAAAATTATTTATATATAGGTGTATATATATATATAAGAAGAATGAGAGTTTTCTTTAAATTTTTTCCCCCAGGGAAACACGAACGACGTCATTATTTTTAATTTTAAGTCATATTTTTTATCAATTCAACATTATCATAGGCCGCATCATTTGACAAAAAGTGCCAAGCAAAAGTCAGCGAATTATTATCAACGCAGAAGGAATTGCAAGAACAAATAGGTGTTTTGGAACAACGTGAAAAAGAAGGCCTGCAGCTACTAAAGCAAGCCGATTGCATGTGGACATGTATGGAGGCTTCATATAAGAAGAAAGTGGCCGAATCTCTGGAGAGGCAGACAGCTCTTCTGAAACAGGTTTTTAATTTACGAAAAATATATTTTCTCATTGGGTTTTAAGCTATTGCATAGCTTCTATCGCGGGCCTTGAGCGTGGAGACCGAATCCAGAAATTCCGTAACGAAAATAACCTAACACACAATGACGTAACGTGACGTCTCACATCGGGTGCAGCCGGTACGCGTTAGAGTGAGACAGACTATATAGGCGTGTTAGTCTGAGTCTGGTAGAGTGGAAGATTATGGAATTAATATTTAAAAAAAATATTGCATAAATAAAAAAATAATAAATAATTATAATTGCATAAGTTGATAAAAAATTCTATGCAATAGCTTTACCGCGGCAGTCCCCGAGTGCCACACATTTTTTTAAAACTTCAACTCTTCAAAGATCTTCAGATGCCTTTTATTATTGTTATTGCTTATACGAATTTCATTATCTCTCTCTACGCAGAGAAATGGCGTCTCTATGCATTATTTGGGTTGATTCCTCCTGCCTAGTTTCATCACCGTACGAGCCGTATTAATTCAATATTTCATCCGCATCACCTTGATGGCTGGAAGCTTCCACAGTCCGCTTCACTAGAAATTTACTTTTGCGAACTATAGCACACACGCATGACGCAACGCTCTCATTAATATGTGTGGGCTACGATGAATGCCCTTTTTGGGCGTCCCATAGTCTCTTATGCCTATCCTATAAAATAAACTAACTAAATTAAAAACACCAAAATCTTACCCGTTAGGGTTTAATCTCAGGTACACCACATTACAAATTCCTTTAAATTATTTGCAAATTAAAGTCAGAGATTATCAGGAAATGTTCTGATCGAGTCAAAAATTATTCGTGTCTTATGCTCGCTCTTTACCCACTAAACCCGTTAATAACGGTGTCAATATCGATTAGAGTGACGATATTTTCCAACATATATCTATCATAGAAAATTCTCGTGTCACAATGTTCGTTTCCATACTCCTCCGAAACGGCTCGACCGATTCTTATGAATTTTTTATGCATATTCAGTAAGTCTGAGAACCGGCTATCTATCTTTTAAACACCTAAGTGATAAGGGGTGTCCACCGCAAATTTATTTTAAATTTTTTTGAAAATTTATTTTTTATGATACAGCGTACATAAATATATGTAGGTACAACTTTACGATGACCCTTATTTTTTATTATAGTAGATAGTTATTTTTAACAAAAAAATGTTTACTAGAAATAATATACATGGCAAAACAAATGTTTGCCGGTTCAGCTAGTATATGTATATGAATATTTGTTTTATAGATGAAGGAAATCGAAGGCAGTGTTCAGAAATGGCGTAAAAATAAAAAGGAATTGGAATTTCAAATGGGTAACGTAGAAAAGTGTCAACAAGAAATAAGAGAGAAAACTACAGAAAAAAACAGCGATATTAATTGCATTAATTTGGAAATAGCTGATTTTACTAAAAGAATTGAAAATAATAAGGGCGATGTCGAGGCGACGAACAAATCGTTTTCCTCGAAAAGGAGTGCTTCTTGTGTTAGTTCATATCAATTTGGGCTTATTTAAAATCTGGTAACACTAGAACTAGCTAAACACTGGAAAGGTAAACTAGCAACTTCATGTAGCCATGATCAGTAACAAGCAAGATTTATGTTATATGTATTTTCAAATCCAAAAAATGTTCAAGGTGTTTAATCTATCCGGTGTATAAAATCCAATATTTAGACTATTATATGTATAATACATATGTTATTTAAGGTACATTTTTAAATTTATCTGTTTTGTTGACAAAACGCGGCATGTTAGTTAAACTTTATGCAAAATTATGTTTAATTTCTAAAAATCCAATACTAGGCAAAACAAGGTAACATAGCAAATGAAGTATCGAGACTGGAAAAATTAGTAAACGAGGAAAAACGTCGAAAAAAAGCCAAAGAAACCGAAGGAAGCAAATATATCAAAGACGCAAGGGAAGATTTGCAAAGACTGTGCAAAGTTTTATTGCAAAAGAAACTCGAAAATGAAGATATGAGTGCCGAGGTTAATTATATTGCTTTTTATTTATCTACAAATTAATAGACTGCAGTTTTAATTTAATTCATTCTTGACGAAGTGTCTGTCAACAACAGTGTACCTATATTATTATTGATATCGATAAATTTGCGTAAATTTTTCGTAATTTTATTATACTCAAGGCTGATATAAAAATATGAAACATATTGCTCTATTTTTTCATCAAACTTTTTGGCTTTTTTATCTGCGTGATAATAATGTTATGATGAGATAAAAATGTTTACTTAATTCAAATTAAATGCACCTAACTTTTTTCTTTATAACGATTCTCTTAAATAGTCGCACACTTCTGTCGATAAAAATAAGTTAAAATTGATATAGCGTAAAAACAAATGAACAACAATTTCAGAAAGAAGCATTACAGTTAGAAATCGAAATGTTAGTTCAAACATGTGATCAGTGCAAAGACAAATGCAGGAACAAACAGCAAAACATAGAAGATGAGATTCTAGCTATAGACAAAGAGATAGCTAATTTCAAAGTCCGATGTATAAGATGTCACGAATGTACTGATACTATGGATATGAGGAAGTTTTGCACCGACTGCCCGAGATGTGCCGAAGAGAGAGATTGTTTGCTCGAAGGTGATCATTGCGTACCAGATCATACTATGGACTGTGTGTGTATGACGGTCAAACAAAAGTTTTTGGATAATGTCTTCGAGAATATGTATACAGTCCTGGAACGGCAAACTAAGACTGGACCAGGGAAGGCAGTGGCCGAAGCGGTGATGAATTGTCTAAAGAAAAGTCGTAATGGAAAACTGAATGATGCAACACGGAAGATATTGCAAGATTTCATTTTGAATACGGTGAAGAAGAATTTGAATTTGACGATCGTTGGGGGGAGCTGTTAAGACTAGATGTGAGGTATGTGGTCTCTTATATCTAAATTGTCTTCTATTCATTTTTATTCTCTTTATTTTCTTCTCTCACATATACATACAAGGTTATTATGATTAAACTAAGCTGATAACATTAGGAAGTGTATGTGAGAGACTGGTCTCTGTAACAGGAGACCTGAGTGACAGATAGCCAGCCTCTCCACCACCGGACCGGAACACGTACAATCATGTCATTGTCATAAGATACAATAGAAGAAAATAAGTATTAAGTGCTAAAAGAAAACATTGCAAACGGAGTCTTAAAAATAAATTTGGTGTGTGTATGTGTGTGTGTGTGCTCAAGAAGTTTGCCGGTATCTGTACCAATGTTTTATACCCAAGCAACGCTAGACTGATATGTACTACGTTTTTTGTAAACGCGGAACGTTGGAACTGATTAATAACTATTAATACAAATTAATAAATCGTAAAAAAATATTTTTAATTATATAATTTTAAAACTTAATTTTTTTTTCAATAAAATAATACACGTTAAATTTAAAAAAAATTCTTAATTTAATTTGTATATTTCCAGTAAATGGTTTTAGCAAGTTAAAGTGTAATACTTTAAGCTAACGAGATCAAATATTATAATGTAAACACAAATTTCAGATGGATTCAGAGACATACAATCAACTTATGCTTTGTTTGAAACAAATCAAAGTTACCAAACCCGCTAAAGCAGACAAAGGGACACCTACTAAGAAGGTTAATAAACAATATTAAATAAACTATTCAAAAAACTTGTAGTTAATCTTAATACTGCTAGTTACTTATACTTACTGATGTTAAGAGCTTCTTCTCTAGGCCATGAAGTCAGAAAGATTTCATTTACGTGTCTGTCTGTTTTCGTTGAATAAGCAAAGTGTGTTTTATCAGCCAAAGGTGAAATTCGTAAACGAGACTTAGCGTGATACGTCAAATACAATATTTTGGGTATAAGAGAGTCATCCATATATATTTTTACATCTTCCTCATGTCATAATGCAGAGACCTGGATGTATGCCTTATAGATTTTCTTCGGTATCGAAATGGTACTGACCACTAATCCCAGAAAGAAGACACGAGAAAATGATTTAGTATCGATTTTTACAGATTTAAATCCAAGTAGCTTAAAAACGCAGCAACGTACGATCTTATAGATCAAAAAAATGTTGTTATAAATACGAAATACAAGCAAATCCTACTTAAATGGTCGCCAGCTCCTAGCTGTTAGGGCTAAGTACTCTGAATCTTACCCATAGGGTAACGAGACGTTAACCTCTTTACGCTAAGTACTCGCGTTTGTCGGCATACATGCCATACGGGAGGCATTCTTAGCTTATGACTCTGAATTTTACCCTAGGGGGTCGTACTGCAATTCAAATCTTAAGTCTCAATGTTGCCTAAATAATTTGACAGCCCTTGAAATTTAGACTAAAGTTTGACGTTTAAATACGTGTGATCTGTCAGATTTCTTGATTAATACTTGTTTCAGTGCATTGAAACTGGAGGTAGTAAACTAATGGTTTAATAAAGAAATTTGATAAAAACATATGTGTACCTTACGGGGTATCATCAACGCTACGTTACTTATTTTACAGGACCCATGCCGTCGTTGGCCGAATTCCAGCGAATGTAATTGCCCCAACGGACCAAAGGAGTGCATCTGTTCAAGGAGAGCTCCGCCCGCTGCCAGAGACCCGCCATGTCCGCCAGACCCCGATGATGCGGATGCGGTAATTTTTTTTTATTGCTAATATAAAGTGAAGTTCTAACATTCGGAGTCTTATACATTTTTGTGTCCGATCAATTTATCTTGAATAATAATAATAATTAAGCCGCATTCCATGAAACATTCGTCATTCAAAAAAAACTTTTTTTTCAAAGACCTCTTATAGAGTCATCTAGAGCCTTCTATATATTTTCCTATAGGCCTCCTCAAACTGGCTCCATCTCTCTCTATCGTGAGCCTATTTCTATCAATCTTCCCCACCAACTTCTTTAAGCTCGTCAGCCCAACGTGTAACAGGGCGACCTATTTTTCTTTTCCCTGGTCCCAATAATAAATAAAAATAATATAATATCCACTGTGCGTTTGCAACTTCTACGCTCCAACGTGCGATAATAGATCGAAAAATCCATAAAATTAGTATTTAGTGTAATTAAATTAATAATTAAAAATATTTATCAAATATATTATTTTTAATTATACAAATAGATATCAATAAAGTCTCATTATTATTAGTATCAATTTGCATCAGAACCACAAAAGCTCGGTATTGCGTTTTCTTACTTGAGAATATAACTTGTATTCTTTAAGCTTTCGTGTTATTCCAGGGTGAAGAAATAGCTTGCCCACATAGAGACAACGCCCCTTGTGGGCCGGATTGCGGTGCGCATACGCCGAGTCGCGTTGCTGCAGAAGTAGCGGCCTGGAAACCGAACCCTTGTCAAGGTGATTTTTACATAATATATGATCTTAAACTATTTAACATCCCCTTAATTTCTTACAATATCTCCTTCACATGTTTTAGTTGATGCTACTTGCTACCATGCTAATGGTAGAAACGTTACAGATCCGCCATTTTGAGTAACGAGTTTTGTGTAATAAGGGTTGTCTTATATCAAAAGGGAAATGTTTTAAGTTTATTGTATACATACACTTACATAAATAAAGCTGCAAGGAACTTTCTCTGATATAGCAGTGTCAACCCTAGAAAGCGATTTTTCGTAGGTATTTCCAGTGCTCTATTTTCGTTGGTCGCTGAATTTGTGAACAAAAACAAATACGTTCGGGCCATGATTGTACTTGCTATATTTCACTATTATAATTCTTTATATAGATTAGATTTTTGTCTTAGTAGCCGTACGTAAACTCGAATCCAAATTATTTTAGTATTTAATTATTATGGTTTTTGCAGGTCCCTCATGCCAATTGAAGAATATGAGAGCTGCTCAATGCGTCCTCGGGCCTGAAGCGTTGTGTTCGAAGGCAAATTTGCGTAACAAATCATCCGCACCCATTGTACCAAGTATCCATAGTTTAGGGGTAATGTATTGTGTATTATTCTTATATATTATAATATAAACGGGTAATATTACATATAAAATGTGTGACGGAATTATTCCTTTTAAAAACCTCTAAAAGTCAGAATATCTCTCTTTTAACTCACACAATATTGTTCTAAAAAAATGCATTATTGGCGAAGGTTTTTAATAAACGCTATTCATTATAATTATTTAGTTTTGAACAAAACTGCCTTTACCATAAATTTATTTTGTTGAATAGCTCAGGAAATATTATACTTTTAAAATAACTCCGCAGCAAATTAACGGCCAAATATCACACGAACGTTTATAGTGTGATGAACTTGCGCAAAACAGCTAGTATATCATATACTCGTACACACATTTTATTATAATCGACGCTTTAGTTAATTTCGTGAATATTTCAGTGCTAATTTAAATTAGTCCGAGGACTCGATTTCCATAACAGATTATTATCATTGGTAAATAACAAATTCCTTCCAAAATGTACCACAGACTTGTGGTGTGGTATATTGTTATTGATTTTTGGGAATTTTCAGAAGTCCTGTCAATGCAGCCACATATCACGAAAGGCATGCGCTTGTCACAAAGGTAATTTAATTTAGTATAATATTTAGTATGGGAGTACAACAATTCTAAGACATTTGAACATTGTAGATGTAAGAGGTGCTCCTCGCGAAAGAATTATTGAAGAGGTTATGGGAAGATATACTGATGTCACTCCCATTGAGAAAGTAAGTTACACAATGATTAGCAATGACTCGCTGAATATCAAACGTTGACTTTTTGCTATGTTTTTGTTTAAATAAATATTTTATTGTAATTTTGAGTTGTTTCAATTTTAAGAACATTACACAAATATTTTGTCTTTCAGTTGTTTTGTACTCCCATATAATAGAATAATATTTAAAATATAGTTCCAATAATTCATATAATTTGCAGATACAAAACAACTAAAACGCAAAAATAGATGCGATAAAGAAATTAGTACGGTACTACAATTTCCATTTAGTGACAAAAAGGTAGTGTTTAGTGATGAGGACTTGATGTATGAAATTGAACATATTGTATCAACCAAAGCATTGGCTAGGAACAAATCAGAGTCTACTTCTAGTTTTTTAACACAAAAACGTAGTGTAATTATAATAGACAACAACAAGAAAACCGAAAATACCCTAAATATTGACAAGGAAAAACAAAGAAACAAAAAGGAAAGTTCTGTTAATACTTCAAATAATAAAAAACATAGTACAAATGATAAAGACATGAAGGTTTTAAGTGAAGAACGGAATTTGAATGTTGTGATTCACGATTCAGATAATGAACTTAAATGTGTTGCGCCAAAATTGACTAAAACACCTTCCGGAAATCTGACAATGGCTTTAGAGGAAAATATAATTCAACTGATTGACTCAAAAGTTAAAGAAAATGTCGATCTATACATTAATCTAAGGGAGGATGATTCGGGATCTTATTCTATCGATTTCAGCTGTAGTGATCTCGACAAAAACGCCAAAAAATTACTGGTCAAAAGAACTCCCTCGGGTAACTTACTCTTGGATATCAAGGATAAAAAGAAAAACTCACAATCACTAAAAAATAAAAAAGCAATTAGACCAAATAAGTTGTCTAAAAGGGCGTTTAAATCGAAAAAAATACAAAAGCTACCACCGAAAGAAATCGTTGATAGTTTTACAGGAACTTCTGCATTGTCTAACAAATGTTCTGGTGAATTTAAATCACACTTATGCAAGGCAACCCTAAAGGGATTAAAGAGAGTTATAAATGAACCTATTATTTTACGCCGTACAGGTTCAGGCAATTATGACATAATTATTGATAAAGAATTCGAAAATTGGTACAAAGACGCTGTTAAATGTCACGAAGGCGAGGAAGAGGCAACTTGTGTCAAAGTTTTAGAAAAAAGTTGTGGTAATTGTATTATCAGTTTTATTGACGAAGAGGATTCTGCATATAAAAACGCATGCATATCCAAAGATAATAGTGGGAATTTTAAACTTATAATTAATTGTAATGTCAAAGAAAATTTGTTGCAAAAGCAGAGTTCTATTATATCATCAAAAATTTTCGAAAAAATACTCAATCGTGAATCAGTTGATTCTGAGAAAAAGAAAAGTAGCGCAATAAAAAAAAGATTTATGCAATATAAATCTTGCAGTGATTCTAATATCTACAATGATTTAAGGAACAATCTCTTTTCACAATTTTCTTCGGGGACATCAGCTAAATTGACCAAAACTAATTCAGGTCAGTATACGGTTGTCTTAGATAAAGAATCAAGAAATGCCCTCCTAACAAACTTACGAAAATATTTCTGTGGAGCTACAAAAGGTTCCATACCAATAAATAGGGATGATAATGGTGAAATTTCTATAGCATTAAACAACAGATTAAATCAAGCAGAGTACGCTTCATTGACAATTTCACCATCAGGAAGTATTTATGTAATGGTAAAAGATAATAAAAAAGATCAAATTGATATTTCAACAAAATTAAGTTCACACTGTGACATAAGATGGGATCAATTTATTGATGATGTTAAAAATCCATCTGTAAAGGGCATTTCAACACACTGCAATAATCGAGATGACGGAAATTGCGACATGAACAAATGTGTCTGTAAAAATTTGTGTTTTAAATCAAAGCGATGGGTTGTTGACGCAGATTCCACAAGCACCGAATGTGGTGTCGTATGGAAACGTGATTCTAACCGTTATTCACCATTGGATTTAAAAGATAATCAGTGCAATGGAACTATTATAAATCGTCATATCGTTATAAAACCTCGTCATGAAGAAAAACCGAGAAATGATGTCTATGAACACTATAATTGTTACTTAAATAACGTTTGTCCTTACCATGCATCGAGATATGAGAGATTGTCAAATGAACTTTTAGAGATATCTGGAATGTGTCCTACCGGACAGTTCGAGAAACACCCGAGTGTAACTGAAAATATAGTAAAAGAACAGCTGACTATTTTAAATACGATCCAAAAACCAAATGATTTATACATATCCAAAGAAACCAAGCAATACAATTGGGACTCTATAGACTATCTTCCTCATCAATTGCCTACATTTCTTAACGCTTTTACTCGCACTTCATAAATCGACAATGTGTTTAATGTCTTCTGTTTCGCATAAAAATTGTAACTGTAAACATTAAGAAAATTAAATAAAAAGAACTTTACTAATATATATATGGCTTATCTATTCCATAGTTGATAAATAAAGTAATCTCCTTTTTACGAGTCGTAGACTGTCCACATTTGTATGCGCTTTTTTCAGAAACATTTACGATTCAAAAAATCACGACGTGCATTGATATCACGCGTTAGTAGAGTAAATTACAATCAGCTAGATGCGATTAGAACATTTTCAATTCTATCGAAAGTTTTTTTTTATAGTAGGCACTGTTCAGTTCAAGTCATCCTGCCTGTAGAGTTTTAAATATACGCTATTACCTTTCTAGAATACTGGATTGCTACTACTATATATATCGATAGCTAAAACTAATGTTTGTACGACAAATCTACGATCGCGAAACTCGTACTTCGTCAAATACATCATAGAGTTAGAGGGCCCGCAGTCCTCGAAATCATGTCGATACAGAGAAAATGTTCGAATAAAGTATCGAGTGTCGCCAGTTCCAATATATTACCAAAGGTCAAATGGCAGAAGTTCTACCAGCGACATTAACATTATCTGATTGCGGTGAGTAAAAATTTATGCTGGCATTTTTACTACAATCGTGAATCTCATTGTGAAAAACAATTTGTGTATCTCGTTTATTCTTGCAATATATTTTACCATTGAATTGAGTGATATAGTTAAAAAGTTTAGCTGTGGGTATAAAAGTTCCCTAGTAATATAATGGGAAGAAAATTTGCAGAGAATACATTATAAATACATCTCATCGTAACTTTTATTTTTATAATTGAAATAAAAATAATAACAGTGAAGCAGCAATAATTATGTGTATTTAAGCGATGGATTTAAAATTTTAACATTATAATATACGTAATATGAATATTAATTAATGAAAATTTCAAGAAAAGTACGTATAATATACATTCAAGTTAATTTAGGAAATATTACAAAATTGCATTCAACAAAAGCTAGTTTATATTTATTCTAATTTTAATATGTAATTGGAAAAGTTACAGATATTTGAATCGCAGTTTTTTTACATTAAGAGTTTGGGTACATGTTCTAATATAATCGATTGCTTATTTAGCAACAAAATTTTTAATATTATACACATATTCAACACTTAATCATATCCGATATGGTCTAGTGGCTAGGATACCTGGCTCTCACCCAGGAGGCTCGGGTTCGATTCCCGGTATCGGAATATCTTTTTGTAGTCAATTTTTTTCATAAAATATTCCTATAGTAAAACATCTAAAAATCAAATTCTATAGATTACCATTCTGACGATGACCAAAGAAGTGAAGTGGTGTTGATTTAGCTCACTTTATTAATTGTAAATTTAAGTTTATTGAATTTTAAAGATTATATGCTTGTTTTTTTTATAGAACAGCGGGCAAACGGGCAGGAAGCTCACCTGATGTTAAGTGATACCGCCGCCCATGGACACTCTCAATGCCAGAGGGTTTGCGAGTGCGTTGCCGACCTTTATATTGTTATAAATATAACTCTAATATTATCAAAATATATAGTCGATTTGTCCTTGTTTTCCTACACCAATAAATGACATACTAAAATTGTATCGGTAACTATATTCTCTGGTACTTTTTATAAAGATTTTCTCTAAATAAAATTTGGATAGAAGCTAGTATACACGTAATCCTTTTGTTTCCCCAAACTCTATTTGGCTCACAACAAAAATTCTTAACGTGATTTGTGTAGTGGCGGGCGGTCGCATTTTTTCGTGAAGAGGTTGACACCCCAGCTATGGTGTTAGATTGATTTATGGCTGATTCGATGCGATGTTTTGGTTAACGTAAAGTTTTTCATATGTACATATATGTATATTGTTTGAAAGATATTTGTTACATATAATATATCTTGTTATGATGATAAACTTACAACCTACAGAAGGTCTACGAATGGTATAAGAGATTTTGTTTTTCGAAGGACTTGGATTGCTTACATTAATAAGACACGGAAATGTTTGTTACCATAGTAACCTACTATATAAACTCTTTTGCACCTAAGGAAAATTACGCATTGTCGTTCATAAAAATGGAATCTTCCTTCAGAGGAGTGTCAATTGGTTTGTGGCGGTGTAATTAAAAAAGCTTGTATGCCCATCACTTCTTTTTGTTTGGCCGTGTACATCGGTTTTAAAGAATTCATCAAATTGTAATAAATTGCCAGAATACACTTAACGCGTATTAATTTACACAATTATAAGTATACAGACTACGTCAGACAATTAAATTTCATTTAATTAACGACCAAAAACGACCTTAGAACGTAAATTACCGTAGATAGTTTTGAGTGAACCTTATCTTTTCCATACTCCATAAATATTAAATTAATTGCTGAAAATAAAATTGCATTATAATTTCAGTGTTATTCAATATAATTTAGGAAAATTATTTAATTTTTCCGGATTCTATAGAAACACGATTTATCATCAACAACAATGTATAGATATTGCTTTCGCATCTATTCGTAGTTCGATAATCACCAAAGTTTTAGTATTATTTCGGAAAAAGAAGTATTTATCCCATAAGATATTGCCGTAATAAATCATATAAATTAGCGGTATCAAAGTTGGAAATACAAATGTGTAACCAAGTGGGGTCCTGAATAAAAGATTACTGCAACACTTTGCCAAAGCACTCCAGAGGGATGGAGTGGCTTTGAGAACGTCTTTAAGATACACAGATAAATTGCATGCTGTTTAAACTATTAAACTAATAGGTTTAAGTTAACAGCTGTGTAATTACAGCAAATAGCCTCGAATATTAGATGCTGCATTTATGAATTGCATGTATGGAATATGAAAATGGTGCTTCGTATATAATACGTATATTTAATAATAAACCTTAAATAAGAGAATAAACCGTGGAAGAGTTACCTATTGATTGAAGTTTGATAAATATTAAAATGGTGTTTTGAAGAGAATTGTGATGATTCAACATTTTGTGATAAGTAAATTTTTAGTTACAATAAAAGAAAGGTAGAATTTTACATGGTAGTAGTTATGCATATTAGATTACATTATCAATCACATAATCACATTATTAAAATATATTATTGTATTATCAAATTAATATCAATTATTATGTTTCACTCTAATAAATTTTGATTCCCATACAAGTGTTTTTCCTATACAATTCCAGATTCATTTTTGTCATAACCAACTATCTCCCCTATTTCGCTATATAAGTCAGTAATGTTTTGTATTGCAGGAGATAAACAGGCATCAAGCTTCAAATACCATCGAGTTGGTCTTTTACGAAGGACTTTCTCCATTTCTAGGATTCTCTCTCTATACTTTTCTTACATCCAAGACCTTAATTTATTCTATATCAACTAGTTATTAGTACTTTTTATCTAACCTTTTTATGTTTTTGTGAATTAAATTAAGTAATTATTCAAGTAGAAACAGTGGCGTAACTATATCATCTAGGTCCTGTGGCAAATCTTCTTTCGTGGCAATTGTTTTGATGGGGCCCTATCAGTAAAAATCGTCCATACTCAGTTTAATTTTAATAAACTTCAAGATTTTCAGCGTATTCAAATACACGTTGTATAATATGTCCCACTAATGGTCATAGGCCTCCTCGCTTAATAACAATATCTCTTGGGCAGGGGCCCTCTTGGGTCGTGGGCCCATGGCATTTTGCCAGCCCTGCCACCCTATTGCTACGCAACTGAGTAGAAGTATTGTGACTAAGTATTATAATAGACGGACAAACTATGACCAATTTGTGTTCTACCATCACATATTTTGTTTTTTTGTCAATATTATTATTGTTATCTCGCAAGTTTGAAACCAAAAGTTACCACTGAGCCACAGTGGGGTTAAACATTGCACTGGAAGTTTTCAATTTTCCAACACATTAGGTACGTTGGAGGAGTTGCCACGTCTCGGTGATTGATTCCCGCCGACGCTGATTGATGTCCTCAATCAGAAAAAACCGAATGCACTTGTTTAAAACACCTTTTAATGTATTGTTACGATTACGTACGTTAATACGTTATCGTATCGTACGTAAATACCTACGTGGTCCCTGCTAATAATATATTGAATACGTTGGTAGTAACTGTGTGAATTTCTGGGACAATAAATCGAGGCTTAAATTTGTGCTGAATAATATTGGCATTTGACAAACACATTGATAAAAATATCAGATATACTATTAGCGGATTAAACGTGTTTGGGTTGGGTTTTGAATACCGTCGCACTTTTTTTATGATACTAACTATTTAGGAGTCTCGGGGGACCTTCATTGGAACACCTCCAAGTGATTTTTGCTGCAGGAAACGCGTCTAAGTATTTTTAATAAAAATTTAAAGTTTTGTGAAATGTATTGAAATTTGTAAACAATCCGCCATTTTCTACTTTTCTATTGGTTATTAGAGATGTGACGTTCACTTTAAAAAATCGTGTTTTTAATTTATCGATTGGTAATAATCGTTTTTTTTATTTATCGATTATTTCCACATTTTTTAAATTTAAATTTATAGAATAATCAACATTGAAATTAACCTAATTTCGTGTTGATAGATTATAGGGTTCCGAAAATTTTTGAAATTATCGATACCTACTCGTCTGTATTTCCTAATTAGTACTTGTATTTCATTGTTTGCAACTTTCTATATTATTTAATTTTTACTAGAATAAAGTGTTTACTTTAATATCCAAAAAGTACCCAAAACCGAATCAGAGCACCCCACTATCCACGTGGTCTTGTCTGTCTTACCCCTAGAGTGTATATAAATAATCGGAGGCGCGGAGGAAGAGCAGCCCCCACCCGCTGTAACAAAGCACAGGCATTATGAAAGCTGCAGCGGCAGAGGCTGGTCGCCTAAGGCGACCAAAAAGCCGAGGTTGCGGAGGCTTGAATAAAATGCCTGTGCTTTGGTACGCAAGGGTGGAGGGGCTGCATTTCCCGTAGCGCCGGAGCTGTCCAAAAAAACAAATATTATTTAGATCGGTTAGGTTAGGTTAGTATATGAATATTTATTTTTAAAATAACTGTTCAACTGAAATTGATCAACTATGATCGATTTTCAATTATTTTTAATATTAAAATCGAATACAAAAATCGATTTTCACTTTTAAAGAAATCGATTATTTTTCACATCCCTATTAATTTTATAAACGCAAACGGCCATTTCGAATGTGGATTTTGCTAGAACAGTGTGTGAACAGTCTTACAGTTCGTTAGTTAGTTCAGTCCGTTAGAAATCCGTTACTTAAAAAACGATTATTAACAATCGATTAACTAAAAAACGATTTTTTAAAGTGAATGTCACATCTCTTATAATCAATAGAAAAGTAGAAAATGGCGGATTGTTTACAAATTTCAATACATTGCACAAAACTTTAAATTTAAAAAAAAATACTTAGACGCGTTTCCTGCAGCAAAAATCACTTGGAGGTGTTCCAATGAAGGTCCCCCGAGACTCCTAAATAGTTAGTATCATAAAAAAAGTGCGACGGTATTCAAAACTATTACCACGTGTTTATTTATTAAAATTATCAAATATACTGACGAGCTCCATACCTGTCGGATGGTACGAAAAATAGAGACGAATATCCGGGGTAAATATAATCTAAGAAAAGCAATTTAAACTCAAAGCATAATAGCTTAATTAATTGTTTTGGTAATTCAACATTTCTTCTTACATACTTACTTCCAAGGTTAAAAAAAAATTCACAAGTCGAAAATTAGTCGAAAGGCTTCTTAGATGGATTAATCTTAATTTCTTTCACACGTACAATGATTATTTATGCACTTCTTGTAATTCACCCTCAGTGTGTTTCTTTTTTATTTTTCTATACAAGGGTTGCTTGAAAAAATAGCTTGTTAGCGATAAGGCCTCCCGATGCGTTTAAGGTAACAAAGTGTAAATAAATAAATGACATAGTGGTCGGGTTTTTCGTTGGGAAGAAATAAAAAGCTTCAAAAATTTAATTAGGATTTAGTAAATGTCTTACAGATTATATTCTCTATGGAAATTTCTAAATGAAACCGCGTAGAATAAAGTACGTATTAGAGCTATTACTTCCCAGAGTTAATAAGGTAAGTTATGAAGGCATATAAGATTGTCTATTTAGTAAGGTTTGCGGTGAAGTATGAAAGTTACGTTTTACTATATAACTCGTGTTAAAACCCTCAATAGATGCTTATGTTTGAGTAGATAACTATATAAAGCTGTTAATTTACAAAATCAATACTTTTATTATATAGTTTACAAACTTTTTTATGTATCTGTTTATATCTAAAACTAGATGGATGTAATTATAAAAGTTTAAGGAATATTAATCGTAATTATTACACTGGGAAGTCGTAACAATATTTTCTGTTTATCAACATCTCTATAAATATAAAGGAGTATAGAAATCGAATCACATACTTCTTGATTCTGAGATGAGCCCGCATAGAATACAAATAAGGGCCTACCATCGATTTCATGTTAACATTTCACTATTCCCCTTCCGGTAATCGAAAAAATGCGCCATCGCACAATTTCTTACAAAAACTACGAACTCTTTCGAATATGAAAGACGATCGAAACGTGGTAAGGATAAACTTCCAAATGATTTAGTTTGGATGTTACTAAAAGATTTATCTAAAAGAACTAGGGCAAATAATGAAGTTTTTACTCTGAAACTATCTTTGTATTCTTTAGAATAGTCTTTTATTAGATTTATAATGAAGTGAATGAAGATCGCGATGGTTACCATGGTTACGATGTTTTTTCTAGAATTTGTTCAAGTAGAACGTGGTATTATTTTTAGGCTACATTTTATAGTGAGCCCGTCTATGTATATCTTTCATTAATTCTGTTAATTTAATACGAATTATATCATTAAAGACATACTTGTTGCTAACTACAGTAAATAGGTCAGGTCCTTTACCGGTGTTTTCAAAACCAATATGATTATTAACAAAATTGTTTAATTGTTACATCGAATTCTCATGCGTTATTATGGCATCTCTTATTTTACATATATGAATTTTTCAAAGCACGAACATTCTAAGTAATGCTTTGACCATCGTAATTAGTTTTAAGCTTTTAATTCAGTGTATATAGTAATCCAAACTAGGAACATTCTTTATCTTCAAATTAAAAAAAGGAAAATTTATTTTATTCACCATTCGAAATAATCTATATGCGCACATGAATTGATGTTTCCACAATGTGTTCTATCTTTAAGAGGTGGACAGACTCTGCCTTTTTCCCTTGTCTCTCGTAGCACAGTTCTCGTTCTAAACTTGTCGCCAAAACCACAGGTTACTGAACAAGGAGTCCATTCACTCCACTCCGACACAATACAGTCGTTGGCTGAAAGTTCGAGTTTTAAACTTATTAACTGCCGGAAAAGTCTAGGTACATTTTACTTCCAAGTTAACGCTTGATTATTATAAGTTTGTTCATAGTGATAATCTCATATCACACGATAAATGCCTTAAATAGCCTCTAGGCTATATTTGATATTGTGTAGTACAGTATTCTATAATCTTAGATTAGAGAAGATCATACAAATAGACAACATGAATTCAACTAAACTAAATAAATAAAAAACCGTGAGGTAAACTATATACCAATTTTAAGCTTAGTAACTCTACTTAAATTTATATTTATTGAAATGACTTCTGAAACAAGTAAGCATAATTTAACAAATCATTTTTAATATCCAGTAATTTTTATTTACGTTGTATTTTGTTAACTGCGTGGTGTAACCTCGACCGGAAATGCCTTGGTAGGTGTTTCCCTAGTCCCAACTTCCTGCCCTGTGCCACTGCAAGTACTACATCATCCATGTTCTTGAGATCACTGTCAAACTCTTCCTCTGGTGTTGCTCTGAAAGTATTAATATTCATATATTCATATACATTTTTTCACTTGGTGGCAGGACAGCTGGTTTACCAAAAGTGATGGGCATTCAATAGTGATAAATAAATAAAAGAAAGTAGAAAATATTGTAACATGTTTGACAAAGTGGGATTTGACTTTGGCATTATCTTACCACTCGAATGACAAAAAGTTAAATATTAAATCCAGCTCCTTTGACGATGGCTAAATGTAAATAAGTATATAACGTTAAATTACTTACGTTAAAGGTGATCTTGTAACGACAACAACATTATTATCAGCTATATTATTTCTTGGCGTTCCGACAGGATCTTCTTCCAGGTCTATTAGCTGATCCAAGTTGCTTTTGGTTGATATCTCCGCGTACTGCTCTACGAGGTTTACTTTTCTTCTGGGCAACCCCTTCTTTTTATCCTTTAACTTTAGGCTTGTAAGCATTTCCTTTCGGGCTAAGTCGTTTTGTTCCTTGGTCGAATATTCTTTTACCTTTAAAAACATATTGTTATATTACAGACACAGATTAATCATAATTAATTATAACGTAAGAGAACTTAAAATTGTAATTGATGTCATCAAATAGTATAAAATAATATTGTATGTTTAGTTATAACAAAGTATTACTTATTCTCAAGCTTATATATAAGTATAAAAATATATAATCAAAACAAATGTACAATTTTGAACGGTGTGTGTACAAATTGTGATCCAAACGTAAATGAAAATTGGATGGATTATTTATTATATTACAAAAATTATTTATTATTTTGAAATAACTTTTGAATTATTGCGAAAAAAAAAAATGGTTTTGTTATAAAACTTATATATGATCTTTCCCTTTATCACAAAAAAAATTTTTTTTTTCAAAAACCCAATTGTAGTAATTAAAATTTGTCCCCCTACCTGTTGACGGATTGATCTGAAATTTGGCAATTCTGATGACAATATAATTCAATACAATCGGTGCTACTGTACAAAGACAATTACTATCAACAGACTTGATAGAAATTTCACACGCCCAACGATTTTATTTTTTCGTCTGATCAATGCCGTAGATTGATGAGAAGAGTGGTGTGAAGACTGGTACTTAGGAACTACCGCATTATTTTTAAGCTTTTGGTACATTGTCTACATAATTTTATTCTTTATTTTCAATGATTCCGTTCACCTAATTTTTTTATTAATATATACAAGACATGTTCTCTCTTCAGAAGCTTAGAACGATATTTGTTCTTATTAGTAATAGAATAGTGTACTACTTATCATTGATATTATCGAAGCACTCCAAATAATCCTATTAATTTACCCGCATCCAAGTGTTATTGAATTATGTATTAGATGGGAAGAGCCAAGATTAGCTTTCTGTTATATTAAGAGAAATATTTATTGGAACGCTCATCATAAACGTGAAACCGTCTTTATAACTTAATTGTTTACGATACATTTAATAAATAATAGGTTGCTTGATGTCTATGGAAAGAATTGTCTCTTATTGTAAGCGAATATTCAATCTGTGACAATGTTTAAATTTAAGGTTCGCTACAGTAAAATGAGGCATAAAATTCTATGCTTGAATCATTAAGCGATATTTTTTCGGCTCTCTTTTGTTTTAAAAAAATGGGTTAAAAAAAACAATTAGCTTTCAGAAAGGATACATTTTCCCGCGAAAAGCGATTAATTTAATTAATTACTGTCAGATCCCAATTAGATATGATCGAGGTAAAGGACTTTATACCTTAGTGAATTCAATCTTTGCGATAGATGGTAGTTCTCTCAAGTTGGGATAATAGAAACCAGCTGCGGGATGGTTGGGATGACGTGGTCCATGTCTGAAAACTGGTTCAGGAGGTGATGTTTTCCATCGAGGTGCTGTGAAGGTGAGGCCACTTGCAGCCCCGCCATCCAGAGGCTGGAGCTGCATTTGGAAAAATATTTTAATCAAAGGAACATATTTTTGTTTGCCTGTAAGTTCTGTAATATTCAGAAACATACATCTTTATGTTGATTTAGAAAAAATATTCTATAGTATTTCGGTACAAGCTTTACTTCAGTTCTATTACATAGGAATCTATATTTATTTAATTAATACGAGTAATTATGGCTACATTTTTTTACACTGGGTACAAATTTGGGAAATCGCAATTTCCTATTATTTAATTTTCCTTTAGACAAAATAAAAATTATTTATTCGAAGCGAATCTAAATATAAATGCATCACAAGTTATCTAATATTTTGATAGTATTGTCTTTGATTAACATAACCTTTACACATTTAAAGAAAAACGCTTTTTACCGGATTAAAGTTATGTTTATTATTATAAATTTACAACTATTTGACATAATTTTAAATTTATCCGACGTTTCGCGTGCTTTACAGCGTGCGTCACCGTGACCACGCACGGTAAAAAGCGTTTTTCTTTAATATTTTGATGTAAAGGTAAACTTCAGGTTTTAATTAATTTTCGAGGGAACTACTCACATCGAGTGTAATTTGATCTACCCAAGAAGAATCAACACAGAGATCGAGACTGTCAACTCCGATGAACCAATCTGGCGAAGGGATTAGACGACATATAATAGATATCTGGAATCATTAAAAGTTAATTATTAGCATTTTGATCTGCAAGTATTTCGTTCGAACCCTGTGAACCGATATAATCATTTTACGGAAACTGGCATCCGCATGAATATATATGTTTAATTGAAAGTGCTAAAGTTTAAATGTATGATTGAGGAAAAAATAAATTGTGCGTGTACTAGGTGTACACACGTAAGAAGTGAAACTTCTTTATGATCTTATTTTTCGAAAAATGATCTACTATATGCAACTTTACAGAAATTCGTTAAATTAGATAAAGTTTAACAAAAGGCTTTTATTATCATAGACATGAATACAAATATTTCATTTTACCTTATTACTACGAAGATTATTATAAAATTTCATTAATTGTAATAGAATTATTACTATCATTGAAAAACGTGACGATTTGCTACAAAATTTCTCCCATACGTCGATAAAGAAGTTTCATTCCAACACCGATAAAGAAGTTTGACTTCAAAAAGCAACAAGGCGCGTAACCGAAAAATGTGACGCGTAACGAAAAAATGTTACACTAAATTTTTTTCCAACCTCGATAAAGAAGTTTCACTTCAAAAATAGTCGCAGAAATGTGTCTGTCCTATGCCCAATAGATGGGTTACGGGACTTCAAACAACAACGCCGTGATGAAAGACTGATCAGCCTTGGGATTCTGTCACTCGCGCGACCGCCGCTGTGAAAGCCACTGTGAGAGTTCGAAAAGTGAGTTACAGAATCACAAGGCAGTGCTTTTAGTAGTTAGTTAATAGTGATGTAATGTAATAAACCGAAGGATACAGTTTTTACGAACAAGACAATTTAGCTGAGTATATGTAGTTATTTTAATTTCAATAGGGGGCAAACGAGCCTACGGGGTGCCCAAAAAGGGCATGTATCGCAGCCCATAGACACCCATTTTTTGAAGGTGCGTTGCCGGCCTTTGAGGGAGGAGTACACTCGAATTTTGAATAGTTGGAGGTCGTACCTCTCAGGGAAGACCTCTCCGGGACACGATGCCACAGCTCGCTAGTTCGTAAAAGAAAATGCCTTGTGAAACGGACTATGGAAGAGCCATCAAGGTGATGTTGATGAAATTTATATTGCTAACAAAATAAATATAAACTGAGTAGTAGTAGGCGCATTAATATTGATCTGCAAGTATTTCGATCGAAATACATATAGTAAATATGTAAAATAAATAAATATAGCAATGTCACGACACAATCACAATCTTACCACTGTATGTGCTCCATCTAGAAAGACCATATTTTCAGCTTCTCCAACTCCCTCAACAACAGGTGGTGTTGAAAACTGATCGTAGATCCTCGGGTCCTCATCACCGCTTTTCACTAAAGCGTCCAGTATGCCATACTGTACAAAGTTGCGAACGATTAGTGGCGCCTCCTCACCTACGCGATAGAGAGTGTAGGATGAGTTGTGTGATTGTCCTGTAAGATCACAATTTATTAATTTATTAAATGTTAATATAATTACGTAACATAATTAAATCAATATTGGGGATACTAAGAAGCTACATTATAACTAATCCATTGCAAACATAAATAATAATCGGCACAGTTAACTCTTTTCATTCATCTTATTTCTTCATAGTCAAGTGATAAGCCTCCTGTATTTTCGACGGAATAATAGTTTTTTTTGGGACAAATCTGGGATTAAAGAGTGGTTACCGGACGGTCAGTGAAAACTCGTTAAAAACTTCTCAGAAAAATAAACAGCTAAACCTGGCCACATGTAATATGATTCATCACTATTATGGTCGGACTACGACATCTAAGATGGTATCACAATTAAATTAAAATAAATAAATCAGTGGCGCTACAACCTTTGTAGGTCGGGGCCTCAGATTTCTGTATCTGTTTCATGATCATTTGTTAATCTAATAGGCATGTGGGTGATCAGCCTCCTGTGCCTGGCGCACGCCGTCTACCTTTTGGGTCTAAGGCAAGCCTGTTTCCTCAGGATGTTTTCCTTCACCATTGGAGCGAATGTTAAAGGCGCACATAGAAATAAAGTCCATTGGTGCACAACCGGGGATCGAACCTACGACCTCAAGCATGAGAGTCGCACGATGAAGCCACTAAGCCAACACTGCTTTTAAATTTAAAAGATTAGTATGTGAAAAAATCCTAAAAGAACCTGCAAGTCGACTTACAATGACGTAATGATACAAATAATTGTATTTAAGTTATGTATTAGTAGTATAGTAGTGAAGCCTCTTTAATGTCTTATCCAGCCAAATAACTTCCTGTACCTAAATATTATTAAAGAATATTTTATGAACTTTTAGCGACTTCCGTTGTTGCGGCTAACCTACATAATTAATAAGGTTCGAAGGTTCATTACCGAATTTCGACTAGAAAAATTACCAAAATATTATAATTAAAATTTAATTATTAATAAAATTTGGTTCTTTACCACGACTTTGTGGAACCAGCTGCCCACTGGGGTATTTCCGAACCAATTCCACTTAGGGTCCTTCAAGAAAAGAGCGTACCAATTCTTAAAAGGCCGGAAACGTACTCGCGTGCCCTCTGGCATTGAGAGTGTCCATGGGCGGCGGTATCACTTAACATCAGGTGAGCCGCCCGTTTGCCCCCTGTTCTATAAAAAAAAATACGGTGCTTATATTACTTACACCTTTCTATATGTCCTGAGCTGTATGTTTAAAGCCATCCCAACGAAACTTTTCTGTTAAGATTACTTTAAAATAGATGCTAGCAGAAAGGTTTATTTATACAGATTTACATTGAATTATCCTATATCTTTTCTATTTTCTCTCGTGTAATATTTTTATGCAAACAACTTGCTGTGGGAAGTCTACTGGGACGGTTGTGTCATTCACACGTGTTTATTTTTAAAACTACATTCCATGCTATTTTTCAACATTCGTTACATATTACACTTGTGTTATATATACGAAAAAATATTAAATTAAGATTACTTTATTCTCTTCATTATGTCTCATATTTACTAGTATTTCTAATTCTGCAACAGATTACATTTTGGTTTAGAGTTGATAAAATTATTGATTTGTTTTTACTTGGAACTGGACTTTTACTGGCGAAGATTAGTTCGAATATGTCGGGATCATCTCCTAATTAACTAGTCTAGTGGTAAGCTTGTTCAACTGCAGATCTTACGGAGAGTTTAATCCTGGTAAAAAAATATTATATGCCAGTATGATTTTTTAAAATTTCGTTTCGTTCTCTTGTTTACGTGACCAGTCTTATTACATATTAATAATAATAAAATGATAAAATCTGAAATAAAATTTCAGATTATATTTAGATTCAGTTTCCATTAAACTAATAGTAATAATTCGGTGTGTTGTTTGTGCTGTGTAAAGCATGTCGCCGTGGTAAAATCCGCCTGGAAATCATTATATTGCCTTAAGTTACTCCATTAATTACAATTATTTGAAGGCGCATAAAATAGTGACTATGTAACAATTTTTGAATTTTTGTTGAAGAATAATTGACCCAAATTGCAAATACAAATGTTTTCTTGTCCATTTCACATAAAATTCTTCTAAGTTGAAATGCTTCATTTCTCGGCCAAGCAATCAAAATTGCGATAATCACGCTTATTCAGTAACGGGTACTAAGCAAAATTTATTTGAAATCTATTCAACTCTAAAATATAAAAATTTCTTAATTTGTCATGACCTAAATAATGTATAAGCTGCAGTTTTTATTGTTCATATCTCATTGTACGTTTGAAGAAATAATTGGAAAGAATATATTAATAAAAAGGCGATAACGTTCATTTCCTTTGTATAAAAGGTTGTTGAGGACAAATAAATATATCTTTATCTGATTGAAGAGAGCCCACAAAATGTCACTTAGCTGAAAGATAAAAGGAAAAACTTTTCCCCCTCAAATTTCCGACATCCTATTGTGTTTTCTATTGTTCCAATAATTATATCAAGTTTGAGCGAAAAAGAGATATTTAGTAGTGGCTTTTGGCCGCAGTTTCTCTCCCCTGCTGTTATACCATACTGATGAAATAAAACCAAGCTACTATACTACCGTTTAACATTTCCTTAAGCCATTTAGTAAATATATGAATATGTTCACCTTAAAGCTTATTTATCTTAAAATCATTATGTAATTCCTCAAAATTTCGTAAGATTCGTAGCTGGGTTGCATCGTTTTGAAGATATATAATTATATATATTAAGAAAAGATTAATGTAGGTATTAAAGATACTTGGAACTGTACTAAGTGTAAGCTGTATAATATAAAATCATTTTGTAACTCTTACATTTCACAGTAAAAAAAATATTCCTGCTTGCAAATAAAAAATGTTCTATTAATGCTTCTTATGCATCTACTTACATCTTTACTTAATTTTTGGCATAAAATTTGAAATTTGTAAATAAAATATGACGTTTGAAAAAAAAATATATTAAACATCCTTGTTCAGATTAAATAAAAGTATGCAAATATTATGTTTACAAATTTAAGTGCGAATTTTAAATCATTGATTAAAAAGACATTAAATAATTACGTTGCTTTGATATAACTACTATGTTAAGACAATCTTGTGTGCTTTCAATAAAGATTGTATATTGCTTTATATAATCAGTGTCCTATTTACGAAATCTAATAATATTCCACTGCACATGCATCTCATCTAACGTACCGAAAAGCGCCGACCATTGAGCTTTCGGTCGATACAACGGATAATCTTTTGGAAAACTTTCCTCACTCCACAAAAACTTCACTGACACTTTGTAAACAGCCATATCAACATCACACGCGGAACACAAACTGTTTACGAAAAACAAGATGGCCGCCACTAGCGGTCGAGCCATGATAGCAAGCGCTCGTCTAATTCATATAAACACTGCAATTTGCTCTAACGAAATAGCGTTTTAATTTCACGGTTTCGTACACAGCCAAATGTTTTGGTGGTGTTTTAATTTCGTTCGTTTTCCGCGTGCGTGCAACGGGGCCGAGGAGAGAGTGTGGACTTTTCTATTTTGAGTCCCCTTTGCCGTCCGGACAGAAATAAACAGTGGGCGACGAATCGTATTTATGTAAGGCGTTTTCAGCGTTTGTTTCAGCTAATCCAAATACCCGTAATTCACACTTGGCTAAAGTCGTGCTGTTAGCTTAAAATATATTTTTTCACTAAGAAACACGTAATCAATTAATTCTTGTAGAAAGAATAATTATCATCATACTTTTATTATATACATTCGTATTACGCCGGCCGGCGCCAGTGCATTTTCATAACTAATAAAACGCTTGATGCTTGTAGGTATAAAAAGTGGAAAATAAATGTAGTTTAGAGCGTGGCGCGCTCTGTGCGATTTTTTTAGTCTATCGAGCAACCCACGCTTTTTCACAATAATACCAGTATTTTTTGTTCATTACCATTTTCCGCCTAAATTAGGAATTATTTTTCACTTTTTAGTTTGATGTGCTTTAAAAGCGTGTTTTTTGTTTTTTTTTAATTATATTTATTTTCCACTTTTTAGTCCTAGCAGCAATACGTGTTGTCTCAATTTAATCGTATTGCTTTGTGGACTTAAAAGAAATTTCATTGTTTTTCGAGATAAACCTATGAAATTATTATATTGTCGCTGATTCTTTATAAGTGTACAAAGTTTGAATTAAATCTGTCCTTTTAATGTGGGTCAAAATCGAGTCCGAAGGAGTCGGTTACATACATACATACACACATACATACATACAGGTGAAGCTAATATAAAGCGTGTAAAAAAGGATATTGTTTAAAAATTGTCATAAAAGATGCAGATTCATTGAGTAATTATTTATTCTTAATTTAAAAATAGGAACTTATTTCTTATTTTCATAAATGAAGGTATCCAAATATTACTTTATATCACCACAAATTTTAACAATATCTTTAACCTAAAAAGTTCTTAAAATCAGTAAGAAGCCACTAAGTGATCTCAGGTGTCTTAGCTACCTGCAGATTTTATTGAGGGACACTTAACCCGGATCGAATGCCCGCGCTGATTGATTGATCGTACGCACTTGATTGAAAAGGTTTCTACGGCCCTCTGAAAAAGTAAAGCAGAAACGGTCAATTTTTATTACACGCCATAGAGTTCATATAAAGTAGTAACGTATCAAACTTTACGAAGGAAAATTATAAACGTTAGTTTTGTATTTCTTTATCCTAATTCAGTGTTGGTTTATATAAAGACGATTCTTTGTCCGTCTTGTTATCTACAAACTTATAAGTTCAACAAACAATAATGTCCACGTAATATAAAACACAACACAGTTTTGAAGAACGTTCGTTCTTAAGGCAAAATTTTGGGTATTATGTTTGACGTTCTTATGTTCCTGTCAAAATAAATGTTTTTTATTAACAAATAAAGCTAATATTGCCTTTATTTAACTAAGCACTACAATTTTCAACCACTTGTTTAAAAAAAATTGCGTAAGTTATTTTACATACTTACAGATTTTTAAATCAAACAATGAAAATAAAATAACGCCGTGGCAACGATAAAAGCTATGAATTTCAGGAAATTTAACGTACACTGTACGTTATATTGTCTACGTTAATAATTCCAGTTAAATGACACACATTATAACGTCACTGTAGAATGATAACCTCGTATGTCAAAAAACCATTTGTTTTTTCTTAGACTCATGTCATTTAATTGGTATAATCTTGAAGAAAGGACTTCTTTATGTAATTAATAAATAAGTCCTTTTTACCATCTAAAACTATGGACAAAAAACACAACTATGGAAATTGACGAAATGAAACATTTTTTTCGTTTTCTGTAATGTTTGGTTCACTGGACATAGGAGGGTATCATTCTACAGCGACGATAAGTAAAGCAATTATTTTCCAACGTATATCAACGTTGACCCATCATATTGAATAAAGAATTTTAACCCGTCATGCAACGATTAAAACCATGTTCCATCAATCACCGGCTGACCCACGTCTCGGTCAAAATGATCCTGGGGTCTTATGTGTCGGAACAATATCTTTATTTCCTTTACATAATATCAAAGAATTACCGTTTGTAACTCTTCTGTTAAAATGATTTATGGTTGGTGTTTTTCGTGCGTAGAAAACTATGTTTTGTTTTTGTTCTCACTGTAAATAAATATAGTAGTCCTTTGTAGTACGTTTTATTATATTTAAATTCTATATATTTGTATATGAGTCTTTAAATTTAAATTTTAAAAATGATGCTATTTTTTAAAGTAAGTGCATAATGTACATTTATTTTTAACATTATTTATTTTAAGATATATTATGCTACCATCAAGGTACATGTATGTAGTGACTAAATTTTTCTTACTATTAACATGCATACAATCTAATATTAGGTCCTTACATATGAAATTGGCGTTTTTCGTACTGGCCACTTTAATCACGATGTTCTCCTCTTTGGTAAGGAATTCCAAATTCAAATATGTACAGCTATTTACTCATGTATTTGTGCTTCGATGACCGTCATTCATTTGCTTTTTCTTCTTGGTTTTTCTGTTTGCGTCACTCATTTTACAAAATGGAAAACTTAAAGTATCGCATTATTTACGAGTACGAGTTCCGCCGTGGCACTAGTGCTGTGGAAACGACTCGAAGGGTGAATGATGTGTATGGCGGTCATGTTGCAAAAGAAAACACAGTTGGTTTTTGGTTCCAACGTTTTCGTTCTGGAAATTTCAACCTGCAGAACAAGCCCCGTGGAAGGCCTGAGACCCAAGTTGATAATGAAGTATTGAAGGCTATTGTGGAAGCGGATCCATCGCAAACCACGTCCGAGTTAGCTGCAGGCTGCGGTGTTAGTGATAAAACTGTTTTAATTCTCTTGAAGCAAATTGGGAAGATTAAAAAGCTTGAAAGATGGGTACCTCACGAATTGACTGAAGCAAACCGGCAAACGCGCGTCGACTGCTGCGTTACATTACTGAACCGGCACAATAATGAAGGTATTTTAAACCGAATCATTACCTGTGATGAAAAATGGATTCTTTACGATAATCGAAAGCGCTCAGCGCAATGGTTGGATCCTGGCCAGCCAGCCAAATCCTGCCCCAAGCGAAAATTAACCCCAAAAAGTTACTTGTAAGCGTTTGGTGGACTAGTGCCGGTATTGTTCATTGCAGTTTTCTCAAATCTGGCCAGACTATTACGGCTGATGTCTATTGTCAGCAATTGCAAACCATGATGGAAAAGCTAGCGGCTAAACAACCTAGGCTGGTCAATCACTCCACGCCACTGCTACTTCACGACAACGCTAGACCACACACTGCACAACAGACGGCTACCAAATTAGAAGAGCTTCAATTGGAATGTCTAAGAAATCCTCCGTACTCCCCGGACCTTGCTCCAACAGATTACCATTTTTTTCGAAATTTGGACAGCTTTTTGCAAGGGAAAAAATTTAACTCTGATGGGGCAGTCCAAATCGCCTTCACAGATTTTATTGATTCCCGTCCGACTGGTTTTTTTAGTAAAGGGATCAATGAACTACCTATGAGATGGCAAAAGTGCATAGAAAACAATGGTTCATACTTTGATTAATTAAATATATTATATTTAAAAATATTCGACTTTTTGTTCCTCCCATACAAAACGCCAATTTCATATGTAAGGACCTAATATATAAAATTCTCGTGTCGCGGTGTTTGTAGTTAAACTCCTCCGAAACGGCTTGACTGATTCTCATGAAATTTTGTGTGCATATGGGGTATGTCTGAGAATCGGACAACATCTATTTTTCACCCCCTAAATGTTAAGGGTAGTCCACCCCTAAATTATTATTTTTTAATATTTAGATAAAAAAAATTAATTTTTATGGTAAGTACAGGATACAAAAAATACATACAATCCCTAATTTTCACCCCTTTACGATCAACCCCTATTTTTTATTATAAATGATATACATGGCAAAACGACGTTTGCCGGATCAGCTAGTGTTATTATAAATATTTAAAGATATTCTAGACTCTCGACTATTGAAAACAACAAACTATCGGGATGTACATCGAACATCGAATTGTGTATAAATACATTCTTATTATACATAAACGGAAGAGATTTATATTTTTGTATTGTACTTACTTTATTTGACGTATTGTTCTCGACCCCTGGAGGGGCAAAGGGCGTCCACAGTGAGCTTCCATTGCGTTCGGCCTTGAGCTTCACATTTGCAAGTATACGTTGCCACGCTTCCGCTTACCTTGCGTGTTCCAAACAAGCGCCTGCTTGAGAATTTCTTCGGAGTGCTTGGCCTATCCAGTTCGACTTGCGTCACTTGAAGTGCTGGCTAATCGGAGTTTCTTAGCAGTGCTCCCAGTTGCTAGTTGGAGATCTTCTTGGGCCAGAAGATACCCAGAATACGGCGGAGATAACGGATGACGAAGACTTGGAGCCGGTTCGAGATGTCGTTAGTCACATCCCATATCTCACACATATACAGCAGCATATAAAAATTACTGGACCGGTTTAAAACTTTTAATTTGCTACATTATCTCTGAGAAACATAGGCTTTATTTATTTCCACAACATTTACAACATAAATATCCAGACTTATGTAGGTACCAATGTACCAAAACATTTGACAAACTCATTAAATTATCAAGGAACTTGTCATAATGTGGTATATATATAATGGAAACTTTAACACCACCAGCACCACGTAGGGTTCTTGTCAAGAGAAGAAGAGGATTTTACTCATGATTTTTTTTAAACTAGGCACTTCATTTAAAGTATATAACATAATAATATATTAAACTTTATTAATAACATTAGTGATTTATTAAAATTTTGGCCAAATAAGAAACAGTTTGCGAGGCCATTCTTCAA